ATTTTGATCCAACTCCATGCCTGCATGTTCGCGCAGCCAACGAACCCGATCTCTGGACTGTGCTCTATCTTTCAAGGTGGTGCTCTCGTCAACCAGCCGATATTGACCCAGGTGCAAAGTCTCCCTCAAGAAATGGGCCTGCATGGCCTTTGTGAGTGCATCAGCTAATTGGGCTCCTGTGTGAACCCATCTTAGTTGGATACCTTCCTTAAGGGATTCCTTTATTGATCTAGCCATGAGTTGAACCCTGAATTCTGAACATGATGGTGGGGCTGTCCTTGTAATCAAGTCGAATAACGATTTGCAATCTGTTACCGCAACATCTTGGTTTTCTTGAATTGTGGATACTGATATTGCGGGATCGAGTTGAAGTAAAGCTCTATCAGGGTCTCGCCATGGTGTCATTGGATCATGCAGCCATTGCCAGTGGAGACGAATCCATGCCATCTGGTCCAATGCCGTCGCTAGTGAAGTCGTCTCAGCTGAAAGTGTGCTGGTGACCACTTTCTGGATTTTCTTGCTTCCCCAGGCTAAAGGGCTTATAGGACACTGCATGTTCTTATTGATGTCTTCATGGGTGCCTACGATTATTGAGCCTGCATGGGAATCTGGTTTCTTGGTCGAAGCAAAAGAAGCATCTGAGAAAGCCACAAATCTAAAGCTTTTGGTGGGTATGGGTTTAATAGTGATAGTTACATCGTGGTATCGTTTTGCCTCATGTAGTAAACGGTTGGCTGATTGAAGTGTCTCGATGATGGCTTGATTGATTTCAGATTGAAGTAATGAAAGTCTGCTTGATAGATCAGGCCTGGTGTTTGTCGCGGCGTATTGAAGGGAGCCTATGAGACCCCTGAGGTGACCCCTTTCGGTCTCATTGACTGCCAGTTCATGTTGGGCCTTGCGATGTGCTTCAATTGGAATCGATTGGATTTTTCGGACATATGTGGATTGGCTTAAAACTATGCTATGGTCATATTTTTGTGTTAGCTCAATCCCTGTAAAGGTGAAGGCTGTGGAACTTTTAGAACCAAAAGCATATTTCTGTTCAAGTTTATCCATGATCTGTTGGAATTCTGGCGTGCCCCCGTATATGCCATCATCCACATGAATACCCACTACTCCCAGTAGTTGGCCTTCTTTGGGGGTACCTTTGGGTCCACGGAGGATGAAAACACATGGGTCAAAAGGACTAGTTTCAAGACCTAGCCTGGTGAGTTCTCCAACTAAGGCTTTGTACCAGAGAAAGGGAGCATCGATTAAGCCGTAGGCTCCTTTGTTCAGCTGTCCCACTTCGTCTGTGGTCATTTGCATAGCCTTGCGGATCTCCGGAACCGGTTCCACTGCCATTATGCGGTCTGCCTGTGGTTGACCCTGTAGGAAAGCAGCCTTTATGTCAAAAGACTTTAACGTCCACCCATGACTAGCGATACTCTGAAGGATCAACATTCTTGATGTTTTGTTGAGTGTAGGGCTATCTCTTGGGATATCCTCAATTTTGGGATCCAGGTATCCTAAGACAACTAGTCGGGCCTTTGCCTTGTGACTGGGCCCTGATGGGTTTCCTGTGCCAGTGCCTACAGTATCGACGGGTTTCCAGGTTAAGATCCATCGGCATTTCAAGATCTGTGATTCAGGGATCTGATTTCGCATAACCTTGGTCAGTGTCTTGGTTTGGATCCAGTTGGCTACTTCCGTGGCCTTGGCTTGTTCGAATTGGTCTCGTTCTTCCTTGGTGAGCTCATGAAGTCTTACTTCTGTTCTCTGCTTTTTGGCACTGGTTGCAAGGAGGATACAGGATTCTTCATGGGAAAGAGTCTCTACTTGTGTTGCTTCAGGTATATTCACGTCAAACTCACATTTCCACGCAAGATCCTGGTTGGGACTGCTACAAAGTGCATCAGCTTCTTCAACGCAGAGAAGTTGAAAGTCTTGGCCTTCTGACTCGCTGGGTGGCACGATGTCATCAGCAGCTGACACTTGTCTGCTCTCGATCTCCGGTTCATGGTCGGGTTGACCGATTGGGCTAGTGACACTGGGATCACTTTCACGGCGCTCTTGGTTTGGGATTGGATCATTCAGGTTATCGGTGTCAATTGGATTATTCATTTCTTCAGTTTCAGGTATGACTGGTAGACTTTGGTTCATGCGTGTAATTTGTTGTTGGATGGAAGTGATATCTTCTGGTAAGAGTCCGTCTTCCCTATCCCCTTCACTTGGATGTGCGAGGCGGACATTTTCTGGTGCGCTGCGATACAACTTTCCTGCTTGAGTAGTCCATACCGTATGATTGGAATCCTGTAGGATAATCCGTTGGGGGCCTATCCATTCTTGGGATTTTGATGTGGTGGTTCTCCATATCATAACCCAGGTATTGGGACTATAGTTACCTCTTTCGGGACAGGGTCGCCTCAGCATGGCTCCTCGGATCGAGTCGCTGTTGTCAGCCGCATGGAAGGCCTTTCGGGCTGCCTCACGAAGTTGCAACAAATGTTTGAAACCCTTCGGATGCAGCTCTTCGGGTTCCTGTACAGCTGAGACATGTGATGGAATTGACTCATCACTCATAATGGACCCTGGTAACCGACTGCTTTTGCCAAAGACAATAATCTCGGGGCTGTACCCATGGCGGACTATCATGCTATTCTTGGCTTGAGTGCATTGGTTCAGGGCTACTTGGAGGTCAGCGTAAGTGCTTATGGGAAGGTCCGTGTCAATTCTTTGCAACATTTCCTGGATGAACCTGCCATGCCTTTCTATTTTTCCATTCTGCCAATGGGCTTCGGGACTGGTGACATGTGTTTTGATGCCGTACTGTTGACAAAACTGTGAAAATTCCTCACTGACAAGTTCTGTACCTGAATCATGTGTAATCTCAGTCGGGTATCCGGCCCAGGATGTCCAATGTTGCGACAGCAGTTGAATGACATCTTTGGCTGTGTGCGACGGTGCGCAGAAGGCTGTGTGGAAATTTGACCCTGCATCCAATACATGATAAAAGAAAAAGGTCTGCTTCGTGCTGTTGCTCCAGGAAATTCGGATCCATCAATGTAAATCTTGTGATTGAAATCCATCATTGGTTTGAGTGATCCTGGACGCTGACGTTTCGGTGGAGTATGGGTCAAACAGCTGGGACACACTAAGTCAAAAGCCGCCTGTACCATCTCAGGTCTCTGTCCAGAGTTGCGGAGTGCTGTGGCTAGTCTCTCATTAGAGGGATGTCCCAAATTCTTATGAATCTGCATGAGTTTCAGGCGTTCCCATTTTGGCAACCTCATCACACTGGCGCTCTGTGCGACATCTGTGGGATGATCGATTGGCTCTGGCTTGGAGACCGGAAAGGCAGTCTGTTCAATTGGGCGAACTTCGTCAGCCCTCGTGGTGTCTTGGGATTGAGGCAGGCTATCTACAGGTTCACCAGCTACCGGAACGTCCGGCTGTCCACTTTGGGAGCTCTGTGAATCACCGGTCATGACTGGTTCTCTGTCTCTGGCAAACATGGTTACATTTAATCGGCAACTGTGAGCTGGTCGGATAAGTTGTCGATTGGAGAGGTCTTGCCATTTTTCCCAATGCGTTTCAAATTTCACTTCACCAGTGGATCGGATGATCATCAGGGCTTTTCGAAATGGCGTCAACCGGGGCACGGTTCCCAATGGAGGAGCTAGAGTGCGATCGGTTCCACGGCATGCCACAGCAGAAATGACTAGCTTATCGGGAAACAGTCTTTGCAGGTCTGCCGAAAGCTGTGCATTGGTTATCTGATACTTACCTACTCTGGGAGTTACCTGATGAATCTTTTGAAGGCAATTTTGATAATCTTCCAAGTAGGGTTCCGTGGATTGCTTCCCAGTCAGCCGACGCCTCTTCTCGTCTTTGTCATGCATCGGAGTCGGCTTGCTCAGTGCTGATCTGGGAAACTTGTCTTGCTGCTGGTTTGGCTTCCGGAACACTGATCGGACTTCTTTCTGGCCGATGGTCGGGTGAGTTTCGGCCACATTGCACCATGCTCCCACTGTCCAGTTGAACGGTCTTTGGAAGGGTGACTGCGACATGACTTTGGCTATCAACCGGGAAAACTTTCGGGGATAGGATTCTGAGAACTCTGTGCGCAGGATGGGATGTTTTTCAAACATAGTCTTTCCCTCAATACGCTGGTGGTTGCTATGGCTCGTGCATTTCCTACCATGTAGCTGGGCATATAACCCTGGATGGGTGGTAAGCACGGTCATCGGTTTTCGCATGGGCATCCCTGACACGGGGTCTGATAGGCCAAGAGTGCACATATCGAATTGACATGCTTGGGAATGTTGATGGATCTCCGACATGCCATGTACATGCAGCATGAGGGACCTACTTGGCTGTTCCAGGTGAAAGTGTCGGCCATGCATTACTTGATGTCTATACAGAACAATCCCCATGGCAACCTGATACATTAAGTTTTTCTCAGTTTTTCCAAGTTGTTCCATGACGACCAAGGTCCACATGTAGGGCTATACCATAGATGTTGGGGTCTATGTTGAGCGATCCATTGAAACAATTTCTGTCGACTTTCCACTTTGGAGAGATCTCCATCGCCCAGGCTGAACCGAAACGCTTGATGGCCTAACTGCTGAACCTGATGGGTCAAGGTCGAGTCGGCATCACAAAAGATTTCTCCTAACATGAAAGGCTGCCCCAACGGTCTGGTGGTGGCTATCGTTTGACTCAATTCATGCTCCAAGGTGCCTACTTTGGAGGCTCCTTTGGACTTAGGTCACTTAGGTTGCACTTAGCTTTCACTTAGTTTCACTTAGCTTTAGGTCTACTTAAGGTACCGCTAAGTGGAAGCTAAGTGGAAGCTAAGTTTTTTAGGTTTTTTTTTGGTTTTTCAAGTTTAAGGTTTTTTCTTGTTTTTTGCATTTTTTTTGCTCGATAGAGTGCGCTAGAACTCAGGAGGGTGCTCATTTTTTTTCCCAGGCAGATGTTGTCAAGGTAAAGTGAAAGGAACAGCTATACATTTATTATCGGAGAAGGCATAGGCCCGTTGTTCCTTCACGCAGCAGGTGCATTGGCTCGTGGCCAAGCAAATTTTGGAGCGGCAAGAGTGCCAATTCTGAATTGGTTGACTTCCACTGAGGAAGTTTTCTCTTCGAAGTGGTAGTTTTGGTCAAACACGCCACAAGTAGAAACAGATCTTTGGCAGTGGACACACCACCTTGGACTTGCACGGCGCAATCGTTTGAGAGGAGCAGATGCATGCCTTTCTCATATTTGACACAGTGATATTCAAGCCCGTAGGAAAACAGTGTGTCACTTGGTAGCTGTACCACGTGGGCGCAATCTGGTTGAGCGCGTGGCTTACCCAGAAGTCGTCCGGTGTAGGACATGGCATCTTCTGCATCCATCAGCTCCATTTCCGTGAGCTGCAAAAGACAACTTCGGGAGAAAGTTGTTAGGTTTGTCATCTTTGGAGCTACTTGGCTTTTGAAGATGCGATGCTTTCTTTCGCCAACATAGCAATCTGCATGTCGACCCCACCTTTGCACTTGTTTCCACACGTGCAAGGCGTAGTGCGCCTTGGGTCGCGTCAATGATGCGTCGTACGCCCGTTGAAACGCCACCATGTGGTCTTTCTGCAAACCGGGAAGAGAAGCGCCACGTGCAGGATTCCATTTCATTTTATGCAAACATGTCACCACAGCGTAAAGAGCATTCAACGATGTGATTGCCGTTTGCATTTCGGCGTACTCAGACAAGATCTCCAGCGAAAAAGCCCAGACCAAGGGCAAAGCTGTTGCACAAGCAGATGCATCTCCGCGATAGTCTGAGTTTTCTCGAAAGAGGTGCTCGGTGCAGCAGGCTGCAGGTGTCAACAGAGAATCTTTTGTTTTTTTCCAACCAATCGCGATCCAGCCCTGCAAGAGTTGCAGGGAAAAACCTGCAGCCAGGAAACGACCAAACCAAAGACCCAGTTCCTGCGCGACCAATCCGTGACTGAAGTACTGATGCATGGTGTCCACCAGCAGGGAATCCAACGTGATCCATGGCTTCAGTTTCTCTGATGCGAAAATGGATCTGCCAAGCTCACGGGCATTCCAGCCAAGACACACCTCGGCCTTCTTGAGGGCCTGTTTTGTAGTGCATGCATCGAAATATTTTTTTACTTTTTTCAGGCCCGCATCAGTTTGACGTACAAATACTGACACGTCCATCTCTTGGATGGTGACATAGCCACGTGGGCACATTTTTCCATTCGCCAAGACATTGCAGCAAGCAAAGCAAGGCTTTGTTCCTGATGCGCCTTTACTGCCACTCACGGCTCGCAGTCCTTCGTGGTCATTCAACAAAATCACTTTTCCAACGAAGATCATTTCGGTTTGCCCATCAATGGACAGTGCCATGCCATCCTGCACTTCATCATATACATGTTCCAGAAGCACTTTTGTCACCTCCGCGTAGGAGCTTCCCGCCTTTGCCACTTCGTTCGCTCGGACGACCGCAAGAGGCAACCACAGACTTTCCACATGCAGCAGTGGAAATTCCCAGAAGGTAAAATAATACAGATTACTCTTGCGGGGATGTCGTGCTGCTAAGATATTACCTGGATTAGCCTCATCTGCAAACACGAGAAGAGTTAAGGCAGGACAACCTCTTTGTAATGCTTGCTTCATCATAGAAGCAAACAAGCCGCAGTGAGTGATTTTCTCTTGCAGGAGATCTGGTACTGTGTTGAGATGGACCACTAGGTTTGTATCCGGTACTGTCACTTCCCGTAGAAGTTTTCCGGCTTGCGGATACTTTTGAGCGGTCTTCCGGCACGTAGCCGCTCCACGATCATCCTCTCGAAGCAATCCAATGACTCTGCGGCAATCCTCTTGGGACAACCCTCTGATTTGTCGTAAGGCTTGAAACTGCCTCACGGGGGGATCACTTGGATTCAATTTTCTTTTCATATTCCCCGTCTGAGCCAAAACATGCCCTGCAGAGAGAGAACCGGCAGAGGTACTGTATACTCACTCGACAGGTTCATGCGTGCATGCCCCGTGTGTCACGTGTCTGCCTGAAACAAATTTTCCATGTCAAAACATCCAGGAGAGATAGATAGTGAGAGAGAGAGATATATATATATATGCATATATATATATATGCATATATATATATATGCATATATATATATATATATCTAGGTATATATTTAATGTTTCTATATAATAGACGGATTTGAATGGAGACATTCCACATTCTGGGGACATTCAGATTTAAAAAATATCTCTCCCACGCGAACTTCGTCAAATTTTGTTTGTAGCATTCTTTAAGACGGGGGCTCCCTTTCTGGCACCTGACAGAGGCCAACTCGGAAGCGTGCCGCAATTCTTTTTTTCCACACGGCGATAGGTACCGTTCGAAAGACACGGTCCTGCATCCAAAGATTTCCCCCCTATCTCTAGATACGTATTTCCAAGACAAATCCGTGGGTCACGCCACGTTTTTTTCCGGCTAGCCTTACCACAAGCTCTTAGCTCATGCCGGAGACTTCTTGCGCCGCCTCTTCGGCTGCGGCTCCACGGCGTCTCCCTCACGAACCGTGGTTCCTGCAACCTTGGCTGCAGCTTTGGGTCTGGGTGCCTTCTTGGGCATGGATTCTTTCAAACTTTTCTGACCTGCTGCACTCTCAAGGAGCAAAGCTTTGAGATCGGATTGGTCAAAGGGCAATGGCTCCAGGGCAGCTTGCTCGACATTCTGTGCGTCTTGGCCATTCACAGCAGCTCTAGCTGCTGATCCCCAGCGCTTAGCCTTCTCCAAGGAATCACGACAGACCTGCAGCGATGCTTCGTTCAGTTCCTCCATGCCATCAGTCTTAGCCAAGAGTTTGGTCAGAGATGTCTCGACGGAGCAAAGCGAGCCCATAGCTCGTGCAGCTGCACACGCAATCTTGACATTGGCGCCGGCTACCTTCTTTTGTTGCGCCGCTTGGGCTTTGCTTGCTTTCGCGTCAGCGTTGCCATCTTGAGCTTTCAAGTCAGGGACATCTAACTCTTGGTCACCATCGCCTTTGGAGCCTTTCTTCTTCGCTGCGATTTTTTCCTGCTCCAAGACTTTCGCCTCTACCGATTCATGCGCCTCTTCCCACCGCAGCGTGGCGACAGGCAGCTCGTGCACATATGTCCCATATTGATCGGACCACTTGGGTTCGAATCGATCAACCACCTCCTCCTGAAATCCTCGCTGCAGCCACACGGACTTGGGCAGCGGCTGCTTCTCTACTGTGGAAGAAAACTTGCGGATCGTTGCCTCTGTGCTTTTCTTGATCCAGGCCGCGCGGATCGTTGACCACTTCAGGCGACCATCGTGCGGTTTGTTCTGGACAGCACGGAAAAATTCATGCGTTTCCGCCTGACTCCACTCTGCCATACCCGTCGTCGTGCCCAAGTTTCTTCGGACAAGTTGTTCAATGTTCTTGCACTGGCTGCACAGAAAGAACTTTCCATGCTGGCGCCCGTCAGCTTCCGCGTAGGAATACCCGCAGCATTTGCACCGTTTCTTCTCTTCAGACACGTCAGGCATGGAAGTGATGCAGAACGTCCCAACCGTCCGACTTTCTAGCAAAAATCCTAGAAGCGTATAGCAACCAGCCCTTCGAACCAGAACGGCAGCACAGAAAAATCCACAGACACCGTTTGAAAGCAAAACTGCTTTGGAGAGAAATATTTGTTTGGAACCTTTCTTAACATTTACAAAATGCTGAAGTATCCGCCCTCATCCCGCACTCATTGGGCCCACACGCTGCGCCAAAGTCCGCACTCATCGCACTCATCACATACTATGTTTAAATTTCTCTTTCAACTTTCCACACTCATGCCGCACTCAAAACAGTATATGTTTTCATTAGATTTGCCTCTCCCCGCACTCAAACATAGCGTCAGCTTTTGTTTTCATCTCTGAACATCCGCCCTCATCCGCACTCATCTCGCACTCATTGGCATTATCTACATTTTTCCAGTCCTTGCATGAAGCTCTAGCCGCGTAGGCTGATCCGATCAAACCTCAGCAGCCAGCTCCGGATTCGTCGTCCGCAGCCCGTAGCTGCGTGAGAATATGGAACCGCATCTTGGTCAACAAATCCAATGCAAGGAGACACCAGAGCATCACCCGTCGACATTCCTGTCGCGTAGACAGGCGCCGCACCAGCCGGCAAAGGAGCTCTCTCGTGCGCAAAGCACTTTCGCACAGATATTGATCACCACCATGAATACGGCGCCAGCCATCGAGTTGTATCTTGTACCTCGTAGGTACCACACATTTTGCTTGTGTGCTCGCATGCCGGGCAAGATCCGTGGCCCTTGCACCCCAGATGCAGAAATGACTTAAGGAGTGCAGCCGATGCACGACCACGTGGGTCCAGGGCTGACCGTAGCCAGCTGCTGTCCAAAAGCTCACACAGCGCAAGCAGCTCATCACAGACGCCCATCTATCTTCGAAGTCTTGCCGCTCTAAGTTAGGCAACGCCTCATCCATACTGGCCATGACCTCATCGAACCCACGTAGGGTCATTGCAAAAGAAACGTCCAGGAACATGGATGAACACTGCGAGATCGCGACCGATCCAATCTGAAAATGGCTGCGGCATGCAAAGCACTGAGTCCCACGAAGCACGGCAAGAACAGCGACTGGCAATCTCATGTCATAGCACCTTGCAAACCTCACGCTTTGTGTCATCTACACAAACCAACCGAAACCCTTCCCCGTAACAGTAGTCCACTTAGTTTTTGCAGCGACCTCGTCCCAGCCCAACTCAGACAGCGTCTTTTTCTCAGGCTCCTCCTGTCACCAAAGACGGCATGTCGTTCGGAGTCAGCGCGCCAGAAGCGACGCCCGGGGAACTTTGATCCAGACCTCCTCACGGCCCGTAGCCTTGCGGTCACCCTCGTCTCCTGAGTCGCTCGGCGGCTTGCGCCGGCGTGTCCGCTCAACCGCATCCACAGAGGCAGAGACATGGCGATGGCGGCGGCGGCGCTTCTTCTCTTTCTTTTCCTTCTTGTCCTTTCCTTCGGATGCCTTTCCTCTTCCAGCGCCATCCTATGGGCACCGGATCGCGCAGGAAGCACTGCAGTTTCTGGAGCTCGTGGCCCCTTCTCGTGGGCTGCTTCCGTCTCACGCTGCGCTTTCACAATGGCGGCACGTCGCCCTGCCTCCCGCCAGGAGTACCCGCCTTGATACCAGAGCTGATGTTGAAGGCAATGCTCGCTCCACCACATATGTTGGCTCAAGCCAGAGGAACCCCGGGTTTCGGCGACGTAGTGCTTGCAATAGGGGCACTGCACAGACCACCGCCTCCATCGTGCCGGCTCGTCTTTCTGCCAGCCTTTGCTTCCCTCGTAGGGATCATGGTGGGCGTCCTCATCATCATAGTCACCGTGGTGCCCCCCATAGGGATTTCCCTTTCCATGGCCCTTGCCAGTGCCCTCGTAGGGATCATTGTGCAACTTGTCTTCTGCGGCACCTGCAGCGTCCCTCTCCGTGTCTCGCTCTGGCTTGGCACCGTGAGCGTCCGGCGGATCCTCCTCCCCGCTCTTGCGCCGTCGCGGAGGGTCCGAGGCTGGGACTGTATGCGGTGGAGGCATGACAGGTGCCACACTCCTCCCACGCGTTGTCCTCGTAGGACTACTTGGGCGCTCCGCCTTTACTGCAGCTGCTTTCCATGTCCTTCCTTCCTCGCGTGGAGGAGGCAACGGCGAGCGAAGCTCACGGGCGCGTGGCCCACGATCACTGGACGAGGACTGCGACCGTGGCCGTGCCTTTGCCTTGGAAGCCGTCATCGTCACCGTGCGACCTACCGGACGTGCCGGCGGTTCCGCAGCGGGCTCTTTGTCCTCGTCCTCCGTGATGTAGCTATACTGGGACTCCTCATCGTCAGCCTTGTCCTTCTCAGCCGTCGCATCCTCCGCCTTTTCATTCTTTTTCTTCCTTTCCTTGTGGCCCATGTCACCTGCAGGGAAGGTTTACAAGTAATAGAAACACGCATGTCACATGCACCTTAGAGAGCCACAAGTGTTCCACACAATGCAAACCACACGGATTCGGTTGGAACCTCGCAGCGTCGGCAGCAAGGCCAACCGTTCCCTGAGTTTTTGAGCCTATAAGACCCCTGCAAACACAAAGACCATGACCATGCGTGCAGAGTCACAACATCAAGCCAGCCAGTCGACCGAGAAAACCATTAGCGAGAAAAGAAAGAAAAAAAAAGACCGACCCGACTTCTTTGACACAAGGTAACCCAGCGACCCATCCCACGGACAAGCAGCTTGGTTATCGGGTTTAGTCAGGGAAATATCCTCTCTTGGCCCAGCAGCTTGGTGTGCAAAGCGCACGTCCTCTGCACTTGTCGCAGCCGTTCTTGTACAAGCGTTTTAACTTGGCAGGCACTTTCTTCAAAATGCTTTGGCGCATCTGCTCCTTCGAACCCCTAGTCGCCACAGCCTTAGCCTTGGCCTTCGTCTTCACCTTTGCCATAGCCTTAGCTGCGGCTTTCGTCCCAGATCCTGTAGATCCAGCGACTCTCGGAAGCACGGCTTGCGTGCGGAAAACCGCTTCGCTAGCCGACGCCGGCCGCTTTAGGCCCTTCTTGCTAGCGGGACGCTTCAAAGCCACACCAGCCAAACAGTCCGCTTCGGCCTGTAAAACTTCCACCTGCCGCTCAACACTCATCTCTGGCAGCTCTTGTCCCTCTAATGCCGCTGCTTCTTCTTGCCTTTGAAACCCCGTAGGTCCCGAATCTTCCACACATCCATCTTCCAAAGCAAGCAGCCCCCCATGGGGAGTGGCTGATGCCATCGTGGGCAACGGAGGCGATGAGGAAGCACCATGGCTGGCACCACCCTGCTGCATTCCACGGGAACAGGCTTCCACTACCTTACATATGGCTTCTACTGACATAGGCGTCGATACTGTCTCTGCATTGGAAGACGAAGCCAAAGTGGAAACTCCTTGCAAAGAATTATGATCCTTCCGCAGGGGCATGCTTCGAACAAACTGCATCACATCCCCTGCAAACGCTTGGTTTGCCTCCGGTTTCCCCTTAGGAAACACTTGCTCTTTCAATTCCAGTGGCAGCTCATCCCACGCGATTGGTAATGATGCAATGAGTTTCTGCGGGGCAGGCAGTGATAGGTACTTGGTCACTACAGGCTTCTTTTTCAAATACAAATTGTATTTCTCCTGTGGGGTCATACCCTTTCCCAGCTGCGTCCGGTATGCCAAGGCGATGATTGTCGCCTTCGAAGCCTCCGTTGCCGTCCGCAATGATAGCTTGGCCGCGTGGGCACACAGCTCAAACAACAATTGCTCTTTGTCTTGACCAGTAGCCAAAATTTTCTCTGTCAAGGCATCAGGTACGAAGTACGGCATGCTCGTGAAATCCTGCAGCTGCGGCGTACGCGAGCTGTCTTCCACCACAGCGCGTGTCTTGCACGCCAAAGCTTCCCTGAATGCCTCCACTTGGGTGGCTGTCCACAGCGCATCATCGATTCGATCCAAGATCGCTGCTGCCTCTCCAGGACTCACTTCCTGAAGCTTTTCCAACGCTTTCTTGATGCCTCCAGCCTGTTTCTCTGCAAAATTGCTATAGCCTGGAAGCGCCCTAATTCCCCGTAGGAATTTTTGCGCACCATCTACTTGCTTCACGCAACCAGCCATTGCCGTCAAAAGAGCCAAACAGCTACTAATCCCACATGTGCAAACAAAAGAAAAATGCTCCAATCACTTCTTTATGAAAAATACGCAAAAAGAACCACAAAATATCCACTTCGCTGTCAAAACATCGTTTTTTTCACAAAGCTAAGTGAACCTAAGTGAAAGCTAAGTGATAGCTATCTATACTACAACATAGCTCACTTTCACTTAGCTTCCACTTATAAGTAAGCTAAACCGGACTTAAGTCAATGCTAACCTATCCATAAGATAGCTTCCACTTACACAACATAACAACCACTTAACATATACTTACCCCAGTTATAAGTCCACTTAGCTTGAACTTATAAGTCCCCTAAGTCCTAGGAGCCTCCAAAGTATCCATCTCCTAAGATTCACTGTGTCATGGTGAGTCATGGTGAAGGCATCTGTGATATCATCATGTCGGATGCTCACCGGACCTACATCGACCCATGAATCTGGTTGGCATTCTCCAGCGCCTGCGTTTCCAGGTGGTTGACCACTTTGGTCAATGCATTTTCCAGATTCATCAGGCGATCCCTCATGGCCATGAATTCCGGGTCTTGGCTCACTGGGGCAGGCACCATAGTCAGAGAGTTGTACATCTCGGTCTCCTCGAGCAGATCTTCTTCCAGTGATGGAAAATGGATTGACTCCGCTAAGCCAGTATTCGTTGCCGCACCCATCTTTGCCTTGGCTCTGGGCTTGGCCGTCATTCTGGTCCTTGGAGGGCCGTCGGCATGGCCAGAACCCCCCACGTACCCTTGGCCCTGATGGATGACCACGGGCATCTGGTTCTCCTCGTGGTGCTGCACCATGAGCTCCACATACTTGAGGAACTTGCGGTGGGACAGGTTGTGACTTTTCCCATAGCGATCCACCATGAAGGTCACCCACTCTTGGTCGGTATTCCAGATCTCCTGGTAACTGCGTCCGCAGTTCTTTTTCCCAAAGTCCACCTTCTCGTTCTCCAGCTCCTGAAGCGTCAGGTGAGCCAAGTCGTTCGGTGATGGCTCGGCTTTGGATTGGATCCCCTTCAGGCGGAGACTCAAGGACATGGCTGCTTGGTCCAGCACGTGCGGTGTTATCACAATTGGTGGGCGATCTTTCTTGGGCCAGGCTAGTGTAAACCGTTGCATGTTGATTCAAGTCCTGTACATCAGTTTCACATGAATATGTTCGGACACCATCCTCTGGCCTTGGAGTTTCTGATGAAGGTATTGAGGGATTTTCTGCCGGAAAGCCAAGCTGACTACCTTCTGCTGATTCGGTTACATTTTCATCTGGGCATGCGGTCGTGGTGAAGGTCTCAACTGCAGGCTTCGCTGCTGGATGAAGGCTTTCTGGGCATTTGGAAGCTCTTGCCAGCTCATTCAAGTCAATCAAAAACAGGCCTTTGTTTGTGAGTTCCATGCGGACTGGCTGCATGAGCTTAGGGCTTCGAAGCAAAAATGCATCACAGTCGATCTGAGCCTGGAGTGCTCTCATCAGTGTATTGCTAATTAAAAACGGAGTGCTTCCGGGGACAACAGCAATTTTCAGCATAAGGTCACCTATCGGGACAACTAATGCTTGATCACTTGTGAGAGTACCCTGATTTCCAAACCTGAAAGTTATCTGGCATTTGCATCTTGTCAATTGGTTTCGAAGAGACCGATCCAGGCTGCAGATCAGACTCTTCACATGATCAGCTCCGATCACCGTTTTGGATGCACCAAGGTCGAGTACTCCAAACGTGGTGTGAGTTGCGAAACAAACTGGACTCACTTTGGCTTCCGGGACAACCTTGGGAAAACTGGACCTACTTTTCTTTACCTGTAAGTGCATCTTTTCATGGTTTCGGACACTGTCGGGACATGATAGTCTCTCATCTTTGTGGAGACTTGGAACGGATCGGACATGACGACTGGGCATGATCGACGGCTGAGCATCATCTTCATTCCTGAGCAGGGACATGCGAAGGCGTTCTCTACTGGTCATCTGGCGACGTGCATCCCCAAGTTGGTTAATACTATGCCCCCTAGATTCCCCAAGAATCCTACCTCGATAGTACAACCTATTTTCCCTTGAGGCTATTTGACATACAAAAACTTCGTTAGGCTCAGACAAGGCGACGTCTTCATCTATGCTGGCTTCACAGGTCTTGGGCAGCTGCAGAAATTCGAGTGGCAGGCTATCGGCAGTCTCGGAATTGGCATCGGTCACAACCGTTCCTGTGGGAGCTTGCGAACTGCTAGCACCTGGATTCTGTGAGTTTTGGCGGAGAGGGCATTCTGCCTTCCAGTGCCCCTTTTGGCCACAGGCCCGGCAATTGCTAGACAGGATCCTATCTTGGAGTGACCTTTTTGGTCTGAAACTGGAAAAGCCCTTGCCCTTGAACGAACTGCGAGCACCGTACCCCTTTCCTTTGGATTGGGACGGTTGGAACGGTCGACTGGGAAAGAAACCTCTGTTCCTGGCCTTTTCATTCAGCTTGTGCCTGGCAATCTGATACGCCGAGTATGCACTAGCTAGCTCCGGATCTTCCTGTACAGTTTCAGTCAAGGCACTCTCGAAATCATGGACCAGCAGCGCATCACTATCCCCCTCCTGAAGAAGGAGCTCCAACACTTCGTCCTCCTGCATCTGGTCCTCGGCAAGGAAGGATGGTTCAGGATCATCTCCATCCTGTGAGGCTTCAGCCACCAGTGTGGTTTGATCGTACACCTTGGACTTGACCGTACGCTTAGTGCCGGTGACATCATTGAAGAACACGGACCCCAGCATTCTGATTGATTCTGCAACCCGCTTGGTGGTTAACTGACCCTCTGACTCAGACTCCAGGATGATCTTCTTCTTGTCGTCTGCTGTCAAACTTGAACCCCTCAAGGTTATGAATGCCTGAAGATCGGCCAGTGTCGTCTTTTGAGCCAGTAACTTGCTCCAATTCACATCAGCTCGAGCTAAGTAGGAATCGTTCGTTTCGTCCCCATGTTGTTGGGTATGAAACAGGGCTATCTCAGCTTCTTCATACTTCTTGGCTAAAGGAACTCGTCCCCATTGTCCACCCAGAAGTTCGATCAGCTTCTTGATTGCGGATTCCTCCCCTGTTAGCAGTTCTGCTTGATGTAATTGCAACTTCTGAAACGCTGATCCAGTGGTGTTGAGTATAAGACGTGTCGTCAACTCAGTCAACTTCGATTTTGGCCATGCGGCCGTCACCAGTTCAACTTTCTGTTGGTACGTCACCAAGTCATCACGGCTTGGGTCAAAGGTCGGCACTAACGATGCTAGCTGATTGCTAACACCCAGTTGCGTGGTCTCTGCAGCTGTAGTTGACATGCCTCCCCGGATACCCTCTCTAACTGAGAGGGCTCCGCTACCAATGTAAATGGCCGGAGACCCTCCAAAGATAGCGAACCAATGGTTGAAATTGCTGTGAACTCTACTGTAACCAACTGACCAAAAAGGTACAAAATCACTCAGTGAAAAGGCTTCTCAACAAAGTTCCCGTCGCGCCCCAAATCTGTTTTGTCGCCCAAAAAGAGATGTCGCCTGTTGTCACAAAACTGGAGCAGCCGGATGCTGCGATGGAAATTCAGTCAGGCCAAAGCTTTGGCAGTATGGGCGGCCGCGCCCAAAGCAAGTGAACCCTGTCACTAACACCGAAGCACCCAATGGCTCTAAGACACAAATCCCGCCGCTGCCCACACCTAGCTCTCCTGAGCCTTGCGTCTGCAGAGACATGTTGGATCAACTGGAAAACCTGGCATTGACGGCAGTCATACAGTTGGATATTCACAGTATATATATATATATTTGACATTCTATGTGACATTTTTTCTGGCATTATGGCATTCTGTCTGACATTCTTTCTGGCATGCAAGCGTGCACAGCTGCACCCCCAGCTGCATCCGAAACTCGGGATAGGGTTCCGGTCCAGGCGCGCTCCACAGCATCCGGAGCTCGCGAGATGGCTCACAACAATTGAAACCCACTGTCGCGACACGCTGCGAGAGGAGCACACCAGGAGCAAAGGGGAAAAAGTAGGAGTAGGAGGAAGAGTAGGCGGAAAAAGAAGAAGAAGAAGCAGAGAAGAAGGAGTTGCACCTTTGTTAAACTCTAGAGGCCCTCACCTGGCAGGTGGGGAAACATGTATGTTGGTTCAAACTGTTTTTTTAATATCACTACAGAAGTCGTAAAAGAATGCCACATATAGGAGATTTGGCAAATTGTAAGGAAACTACTTTTGCGCATCCTAATTAATTGAATTACTGGGGACCCAGGTGAAATGACATCAAAATCCAAACCCGAGTTGATAAGGTTGATAGATGTCAAAAGGATTACTACGAGGGAACAGTTTATGTTTAATGAACCTAGGAAAATGGATAGTGTGTAATGCCAACGTCAACCCTGGATTAATAAACCCATTAGGCTGTTTAATTGGGTGAGTACCATTTAAGTATCAGATTATGCTTATTGGGGAAGTACCCCCCCTAATTGATAAACTCGGGTTTGTCAATCCGGGGTTGACAGTACCCATCTACTTCCAAAAGGGTTCAAACAAATGGCTAAATATCTAGGTGAGCCACGAAAGAAACCTCTTCAGACAAGAAAAAACAATCCCCAATAAACATCAGGGTTCAGATAAGGGGGGAGGAGTTGTGCAGATGGTTTTGGTAGATACAGAGCGGAATGCACAGGGTGCACAACTACAAAATGCAAGTGCATGTACTTTTTTTTCAGCTACAAAATGAAGAACATAACTCTTTCTGGCTCGGAAAATAATTCAAAACCAGTACTACAAAATCCAATGCATCTGAAGTCAAAAAAATAGCTGAACGTCGGAATTTCTAACATGATTTTTCCCAATGACATTTTGTAGTTGGGTCTTTGCCATCCAAAGTTCCGACCAACATAAATTCGGAGAACATTTTCTAGTTGTCAATGATTGAATTTAGTTGGATCAAGTGTTGACCCCGTGCAGTTTGTTAGATGGCATTCTGTAGCTTCATGATCTGTTTGTGTCCATGCTAATGAAATTTTATGTTGGATGCTTCAACTGACTCAACATATACAACTACAAAATGAAAATGCATGCAACGAAAGGAATCAACTACAAAATGATTCCAAATACAAAATGGGGGGCACAACCCCTCCTGTTTGTACAAAAAAATGCTGGCTGGCAATCTGTACTGTAGCCCAAGTCCTCCCCATTTCGTAGCTGAAATTTGAAGGAGGATCAATAAACCAGTTAGCACAACACCGTATATTAAACCATAACAGGGTGTACCTGAAAACTGTCTTAAGTGAGCAGCGTCCAAAACCCAACAGTTCATTCCATGATTTTTTCCTGGCTGGTTGAGAACGGGATTCCCCGTCAATGGATTATGATAATCCCCAACAATATTGGATAGTATATTCCCTACGTTCATCAACCAAGAGGGGTTTAGCAGCCTCTGCTCAGTTCGTATAAGTTGGTTTGCAAGCCCCACGAAACAGAATTAGATAATGATATATATATATCAATTTAAAATGATAGACTAAAACCATACGTATGCAAGTTATACTATTCATATCTATATCTATACTGGTATATTCTTCCCCGCACAGGGTCACTGGCTTTAAGTGATCTCAAGAGATCTCAAGTGAATTATCCAATCAACAAGCCCCCAATATGTTCCCCATTGCTCATGGTTAAACCTCTTGAATATCCCCACTTGGAGGTTTCCTAAAATGGGGATTCCTCCAAACCATCTAATCCTGAAATCATCCTGTCGACACCTCTGCCTATTCCCTGTGCGATCCGCGGTGAGCGCAACTCAACTCGACTCACAGCTCGAAGACCAAAGTGCCGCCGTATCCAATGCCTTGGGCGAAACGCGACTGCAACGGTAAACCCAAGAATAAACCAGGTAACGGGCCTCGTAACGGCCCCGCTGTATAGAATATGTTAAAATCTAATGTTCGTGTCGTATGTGAATTTGTGGATCCGGGAGCTGCACATGCATTTTGTCCCAGGCCTGCCAATGTCTTGAAGGATTTCCCAAAAGCCACGACCTTTGCAAATGCGTTTTTTGTTCACTTGCTGACCTTGCAGAGGTGACCGGTTAGTGTCTTTCCACAAGTCAATCATTTTTTTTGGGAACACGAAGGAGTACATGTACGTATGTAAGTAGCCTCGGATTATATTTACTTTGTCTTTGCCTTTGGCAGTGACCTGTGCAGTCAAATATGACTTGAGGTCTTTCCACATGCGGTCAATCTTTTGAGTTCCGATGCTCTTGCTTTGGCCCTTGAGAGCAGTGGCATCATGATGAACGAACTGCATGTCTTTGTGCTTGACTGCTCTGAGTCAGTGGTTGAGGCCTCTTTTTTTGCATTCACTGGCCCATGCTTTGCAGCCAGCTGAATGCACGTGGGATTTGCGCACCTTTTGTTTGAAACAGTGGACTTTGGCATTTTGTGCAAGCCGACTCGGAAACTTGCTGGCCTGCACGTCTTTTTCAGACGCAGTTGGAGGAACTGAACCAGGTCGCGCAAGGCTGTGAGGCAGCATTGCGATATATTGCGATTACATTTCGACAAGTCTTATGTTTTGACTTCCGTTCAGCAATTTCTTCCTGAAAGTTAGGACATTAGCGGACACTAATTGCATCAGCTTTGATATTTCCACGAAGCACCAAGGTCTGTGCTTGTTGCAATCGACGGAGATTGTCTTAAACTTCTTGCACCAGTCTTTGTGGCAAGTTTTTGCTTAGGAACCGCACCACACTACAAAGCAGTTTCCAGGGAGTCAAAGCAAACGTGTGCATGAACGTTAACATCCCACAATACCACCCTCCAACCCTTAACATCATCAACGTAACATCATCATACATCACCATCGTACCCCATCAACGTAACCTCATCAACGTATATAACATGTGCATGAACGTTAACATCCCACAATACCACCCCACCCAAACCCTTAACATCAACAATGTAATCATCAACGTAACATCATCAACGTACCCATCATCAACGTAACACCATCTAAATGGCAAAAAAAAAGCAAACAAAAAGCTACAGGGCTGCTACGCGGCCGGTTAGCAAAAACAATCCCCAAAATCATCCCCGCACATAGGTTCATAATTGGGTTTACCACATTAATCATATGATGAAACTAATCAGTTTTGCAATCCAATTTTGCAAACATATCTGGACTGGACATGGGTGAACTATGCTATGGTTCTTCACCACTACATGCAATGGACATCCATGTTTGCACGTGGCTATTGCATGTTTAGCTTTGGCCAAGCAAATGAAAGAAACACTCATAACATTACCACGTACAAAACATTAGAACACATTCTTTGGAGGATGTGTTTTCCCGTTTTTCGGTTCATTCTCCCTCACTTTCAGAAACTCCGCGCATCAAAAACACGATCTTTTGGTGAAACATGTGAATATTAAAATCAAACCATGGTACCCTGGTGAACACCAAAACGATTGGTAAATGGATGTTCATTCCACCCACATATTGGAATAACAATTGCTGTTTAACCCTTGGCCATATCCTCAAAATGAAAATTTGATCAACTAGTAACTAGGACAGGAATACAACCACATATTATGTAACATATATATATAATGTATAAATCATTATATGCAACCACAATGGCTGCTTCCAAATGTCAAAACATTGTGTCAAATCATATTTCAAACCAATTTCTTTGGCGGGATATGATGAAGTTCAGAGGTCTTTTAGAGTAAGAAAGACCTTTTTTTTCCTTGGTATTGACCCTTCAGGGTTCTGGTACTTTCAGGTCGTTTGGAGTGACATCCGTTGATCTCCACAGCCAGAATTTTTCACTTACAGGTTCTACCCCATGGGGTACCATGAAATCGGTTCTATTGTTGGTGTTTCACAACCCACATCTATTAAGGGCCAATCCCATTTTGTTCCATGAATTTTCCGTTGAAATGCCTAGTTTTTGGGATTTGCGCCATCTTAGATCTAAGTATATGTGTGGGTAGTCAAAAAAAACCCACGTCCCATGAAATCCCATGAATACCAATTTCATATCATTAAAGCCCAGTTTAAGGGCGATTGCATATCCGTTGCGATCCATTTATAAATCAGCAAGTTGTTTATCCCATAACCATTATCCATCACATCGGGGGTTTCTATTTTATGAATATCGTTTTCTTCCCATCTAAGAATCTAAGATCGGTGTTTCCAATAAATGACAGATCCCAATTCTCCATTGAATATTCCAACCATTCCCACTTTAAAAGACCACCGTTCTCTCGCCGCTTCTTCGAGCAACAGCTCCATGGCGGCATGTACGACGGCTCTTTGATGTATCCACGGACGGGGGCTGAAATCCTTGGGCGAAAAACGCGCGGAAGGGCCTGTCCGTGGCAGGCCCATTTTTGGTGGGGTTTGAATTAGTTGGTCACCCCCAAGATCGAAAAGTGGGTCAAAATATCTACTCAAATAGTTCTTGGAACAACCTTTCTATCTTTCTTGTGGGATGATAATTACAATTAACGTTAACTATTGTTAAATATCTCTACCATACACAAGTTCTGATTCTTACTATAGTTCTAAAACAACTTACCAATCCCGAGGGACCCTTCCATTTCTTGAGGGTTAAATCCTCCATGTTGCCAACACCCAAATAGATCAAGTTGCTTAGTGAAAAAAACCCAGGAACATCTCAGAAAAATCCCAATTAAACACCATGAAATCCGATGAAATCCCTATCACATCTCATGAAATCCCTATCAAATCCCATGAATTTTCTATGTTTTCGGGCTTTCTTTCAGGTCCCGCACCAACGAATCCACGGTTTTTGCGGCCCAAGCGCATCTTCTCCAGGCCCGGAGGGGGCACGACATCATCCCCCGACTCGGAGCTGCGCTGCTCCGCCTAAGCTTTCAGGTATATAATATGTAACAATCTGTATATGTATACACCAGTGGAACAAACTGTCATGTAGTGTAATGCAATGTACTGTAATGTAATGCATGTACAAAGAGAGAGTGATATTATGCAATATTGTATCAATTGTATCCACTATATATAAATATATGTCGGATCTATGCACCGGTGCCACATACTTAAAGGTACTTGAATACTAAAGGCACTTTCAATCGGCCCAGGATGGGGACACTTCAATGAAACATCGCGGAAATGCTCCGCCTACCTTGTACCATGAGTTCGTTTTAAATTCTGCAGACCACTGTATGTCAATACCCGATATTATCCCTCGTGCCAGTGTCTTGATGGTGATGGTGGTGGTGGTGATGATGATGATTCTCCACTTATGGCAACACAACAACCTCTACTGTAACCAGAGAGCAAGCAAACTCACCAGTCTGCTTACCCACTGGTCCGATTAGATTCCCATTTATTGTTGATAGTTGATATCGTTGGCAATTGATTGGTAAATCGATGTACGGTCGGTGGAATCAATATGATATTTTACATTATGATGTTTCCTTAACTTGAAATACGCACTCCTTTGCAATAAACCTTGGTTCATCAAACATCATGAAAAATAGGGATGCTATCCCTAAACATACGATAACTTGCCGCTAAGAGTGTGAACCTCCGATTCAAACCCCTGATGGATGGCTTCAACATGGTTCAACCCGTCCTAAGAGTGTCAAACTCATGGGGAATCAGTATCCTAGCCGGGAAAATCGAACTAGAAAAATCTCCACCTAGCCAGGTAACACACATCCTCATGGGAAAAGAACTACAGTATAAAAATCTCCAAGCAGTGGGGAAACTCCAATCGTCAAGCCTTCTGAGCTGCCCCACAGAGCTCTGAGTAGCAACCAACCGCATCAGCTCAGGTGTGACCAGCTGTTTACACGCCAAGGGCAGGGGCACCTGCGGGAAAAAATAGGATTGAGACCAACCTAAAAAAAAGGAAACACATACCTAACAAAATATAGACAAACATCGTTACATCCTATGGTATCCTATGTTTTTGATATGTTTTTCTATGTGTTCCATTTCGTTCCATTTGTTTCCTATGTGTTTCCTATTGTTCTCCGAAATTTTCTTTTAAACAAATATCAGAGTTCCAAACATTTTAGTTTTAGCCAAATTTCGGAACTCATCTTTGGTTCCCTCCATTTTTGATTCGTTTCCTATATTTTCCTAATTTTCTTGAAATGTTGAAAATTGCAAACACTTCGAGAAAATTATGTAAAATAGGAGAAAATAGGAAACCCATCCAGTAGGAATTAATTGCATGTGTTCAATGCGAAAGTGAATTTGTGAAATGCAAAAGTGAAAAAGTTGAGAAACCGCAAGAACGTTAGGAAACATCAGGAAACTAATAGGAAACAAATTGAAAAACAAAGGAACAACTAGGAAAAACTTAAGAAACACGACGTTTGTCCACCAATGTGTTTTAATCGATGTGCTTCCATATTTTCTATTTATTATTGGACTCAATCCTGTGTTTTGCATTTTGTGTGGAAACTCCCAGGATATGCTTGTAAACCAAACATAATCTTAGTATATAAACCATGTAAACCCGAACCATCAAAAATGGCTGTTGTGTGGTTTAACCATCCTTGAAATAGGCATTGTAGAATTACACACGGTCACATCATATATGTATATATATATATGTATACACTATATATATATATTTATATACATATTAATATATGTACATACTATACATACTGTACATATATATATACTATATGTATGTATCGTATATATTTATATATAGCCAATATGATATATTGAATGCTCCAATCATATTGGGAACCTAATTCCTAGATCCTTTTTTTTCATACCGCCAAGTTTTCGTTTGCCCAACATTGCCCAACATGGGGAGTTATGAGTCTGACTATCTGACTATCTTATCCACAATGTCCGGCTTGTAGAATCATATTAGTTGATGGGACTCTCTACAAATCTCTGAAACTCATACTTACTTGAATTGTAATCTGAGGATGTACGTAGTGGAACATCATTCTGAATGTTCTCTTAACACACGGCAACCCAATAGAACATCCTGGCATTTTTCGATGGCATGAAATGCCCATCTTTGGATGGTTCCCACTCCCCGTATTTGACGTGAGGTCGCAACATCATTCAGAAATAAAAAATGATGCACATAAACCCAAAAAATACTGTTGAATTTCCAAAAACGTGCATAAATTTACCAGGAATTACTCTGGCATAGATTCCCCCACCCAGACTATGCACTGATACATTCTGTTATAAGAATACCCTCCAGCCCTTCAGTGAAAAACAAAACCTGCCATTTTACAATTTTCTGATGGAAACTAATCTTCCAACCCACATTTGGAAAGGTCTATGTTAATTTAGGGGGAAGGTACAAACAATGGCAAACAGTAACCCAAAATACTCACAGTTGCTAATATCTTGGCTATTTTGGCATACTTTTTCTGTGTGTTTTTGCTGTTTCACCATGAAACACAGGACTAGCCGGTGCTCATCGTTGTTTCCCCTCAACCGACCAAGACCTTGGATGATTTCACCGGGGTCATTTTGGGGATTCTACTTGGATGTCCCAATGCTTTTTTGCCATATAATTGGGGATATCTTATTACCAAATATATCATCTGGTAATAAAATATGTACCAGTTGGAATCAGTTGGGAATTGGGATATAATTATCCGATATAACTGGGACATCATATTCGTAATTACCCACTTCCCAAGTATCTAACTGGTTATTACACAATCATATCGCTGGCTTTTAGTTCAGATATAGCTGGCTTCTACTCACTGGTCTAACTAGCTGGATAGCCCATATAAAACCATGAATAGCTATCTACATATATATATATATATATCCTCTATAAATATATATATATATATGGATTTTTATCACTTCGAACATCTATTTTATGCTATATGGTGATACCATTGGGTCACTAATAGCGGAAAAGCTGGAGTCACTAAGAGCGCATAAACCGGGTCACTCCAAGCGCAGAACTGTCATTTATGTAGAATGAGTTTGGGTTTCAGACCCGTAGCTTGAGATACTCAAATTCCAGCCCCGTAGCTTGAGATACTCAAATTCCAGCCCAGCTTGGAATTTGAATATCTCAAGCTATGGGGCTGGAATTTGAGTATCTCAAGCTACGGAGCTGGAATTTGAGGGTATCTCAAGGTAGGGTATCTCAAGGTAGGGTATCTCAAGGTAGGGTATCTCACGGTAGGGTATCTTAAGGTAGAATATCTCAAGGTAGAGTATCTCAAGGTAGGGTATCTCAAGGTAGGGTATCTCAAGGTAGGGTATCTCAAGGTAGGGTATCTCAAGGTAGGGTATCTCAAGGTAGAGTATCTCAAGGCAAGGTATCTCAAATACGGTCGGAGTGACCTTCTATGCGCTAGTAGTAGCGTTATACTATTAGTAGCATTTTATACCCTATTAGGAGTTTTTCTAATCTATTAGTACACAGTCTTGATACCATTTAGAAGACTAGAAAATTGGGTCGGTTCGGAAATAGTATTTGTATACTATACTAGACAATCTTAGATGGTTATTACCCATTTGCCAACGAGTTAGTAGGTTGTGCCCATAAACCCTCGTTATACTTACAAATCAACTTAACAAAGTAAATCCCCTTAAATCCCATTAAATGCCATTCAATGAGAATTAAATCACCATGACATCTCCACTACATCCCATGAAATGTCACAAAATCATACAAAATCCCATTAAAACATATTAAAACTCCATTGAATCACCATTAAGTTCCATTAAATGTCACTAAATCACACGAAATCCCATGAAATCTCCGTAGGTTTCTACCGTTTTCTTCGCCAAACTCTGGCCGCAACTGCCGCCTCCAGGCCATTGAAGAAGACCTGCGGCTTGTGCCTCGGGGGTTCAAAAATGGAGGCGTATTGTGCCATGGATCATGGAGGTGTAGTTATCCATGAACCATGAATTGGATAACTATTGAGTATCTAAAGGGATCTCATGGAGGCTCATGCTTTTTTTTCAAACGCATCTTTGTAGGAACATGATATGATTTATATGTAGCTTCATTGATTTTTCGCGGCAGTCACATGATTGGGATTCATGGGATGATCGACCCCCAGAAAGCATGCTCTAATTTCTATGATGATATGACTGTACAACCATATGTATATATCTGGTTGGATAAGTGAATCACAGAAACACATATACATAAACATGTTGTTTTCAATATATATATATATATTAGTAACTGCACAATACATGTATGTATATATATAAAATCAAATATATATATATATCTCTACCATGCAAAGATCACCTACCTTACAATAAATCAACATAGAATCGGGTAATCCACAATTTGCAGATCATTTTCTGTGGGAAACCCTGGGATATGGTTATCTATTTACTGGAGGGTATATGATGCATCCTTCAAATTGTGCGATTATGACACATGACACATGGGTAAATACATATATTCATGTGTACATAAATAATATAGTATTGATGTGTCTATATAAACTTACGGGTATGATCAAACACAGGATTGTGAAGGATTGTATATGTATATTGTATTTACTATATATAATATACAGTATATACTATACATATGACTCACTCGAACAAATGGGGTATCAATCAACGCACTTAAATTGTAACGCGTCTATTTACTTTGGCCCCCACCATCCAAAACGGAGGTCTACCATTTTGAGCCATACCCTTCAGATACCAGGCCTGATCGGTGGTTCCCCCTGGTTAAGCTTTTTCTCAGTAACTATGAGCATCATTGGACGTCAGCATCCAAAATATGGGTATGGGTCAAAATCTATTACCATATTTGGGGGAATAAACATCCATAAATCCCAGCTATTTTGGGGTACCTACGGACCTACGGTGCCAGGTTTTTGACTAACCCGCGAAGGCTGAACATAAGAAAATGACACCACAAATGGGAATGGGGGTACAACCATTTGAGGTCCAAAGATGCCATTGCTGACCCATGATTTTCAAGTGATACTGACAACCAAATGGAAGGATGACAAGAATCTGAGAGACGTGCCATGACTCCTTACAAATCAGGATGGTACAATGCATGCCCCGTGAAAGTAAGCACCTCCAAGAGAAAGTTTGTGTTTGGGGTCCCATATAACGGGGCTTCAATATATTGGAAGGATTGAGACTGGATTATACAGTCAAAATATATTGAGCCACCTGAAGTAAGCTTCTTAACTCACGACAATCAACATATATGGACGTTATAGACCATCAAAATTGCGGAGGTGATTGGATGGCAGATTTTTTCCATGTATTTTCCAATTCTCTAGCTATGGGTCAAGACCCACACACACGCGATTGTGATGTTCAGTATATCTGGTTCACCATCTGTGTAGATTTAGTTTTGATATCTGGATCCCATGAATTCCCATGGAAATTCTATTGTTCGTGCATTCTGGATCCCACATGATCCCATGCCAAAGCCCATGACATCTCCGCCAAATGGGCCGCATGACCTCCCATCGCCATCATCCATCCCGAGCTGCTGGTGAACAAAGTCCATGGAGCGCAAGCAAAACAGAGCCAAGTTCCTGGCTTCTCGGATCAGCTTTCTGAGGCAGTTGACATTTGAACATTCAGGTTATACAAGTTATCCAAGTTTAACTGATACTTGTCGAGGAGACTTTTGGAACTTCTTTTTTGGGTCGGGAAAGGTTCTCAGCAGCGAACGACGATGATCTGCGAACAAGAAGACATATATATATATATATATACACACATGACCCAGAAAACACGTCGCGAATCCAGCAGAATTGAGTCATGATCATCTTTATAGTCTATATCATGGATGGACGATCATGCGGATCAAAATTCAAGAGCCATGGATGGAACATTTGGCAGTGTGTCAAAACCTTGTACCCCTGGTGAACATCAAAATAGCTGGTAAATGGATGTTCATCCCCCTAAAAATGGTATTAATAGGTATTGATCCATACCCATTTAAGAAAGTAGAAGAACCACAGCATTAGACTGACCTGTTGTTTTTGAAACGAGCGAATTTCACTGTTGGGTTGCTGGCACCGGATCAGAACACTGCGGCCTTGTTGAATTGTGAAGGTGCCAGGATTGGGGCTGACATCGTCTTCCATGTTTTGTGGAACATTTGAGGTTGGTTGGGATTTTCCTCTTGGATAATTATAATCCCCAATATATGAAGGGTCGTTTTTTATCCCCCAACTAATTATCATTCCTGGAATGGGGGTAATTAGCCCAATAAATGGATGGTTAATAATGAAAAATCCTAGTAAAATGGGTGATTTGAGGGTACTCCTATTTTAGGAAACCTCCATATGGAATCCATATGGGATTATGATGGATTATGTATACCAATCCAAAACATGACCATCACATACCATCAGGGGTTTAGCAACCACTGTTCATTTACCCTCTGGTAATTTAACATAGCTATGGAAAATCATCATTTTTAACGGGAAAATACACTCTAAATGGTGATTTTCAATAGCTATGCTAAATTACAGGAGGGTAACAAGCTGCTAGAGATCACTAGAGATCTCGCAGCCACGGACCCAAGCTGAGCCGAGGCTCGGAGCCAGCCCTTGATGTTGTGCTTCCTTCAGGTCGGAGATTACCGATCCCTCCTGTGTGCTGCGAGTGGATTTCTCGATGGAAAAAAACCCTGTAGACATACGACAAAAATGTGGGAAATCCACTATTCATAGATTAGTGTCATGGGGAAAAATGGCTTTTCCATACCTATGTTAGTTTTCCATACCTAAGCGCAAACATAGAGAATATTTGCCACATCATTGGTTTCATCTTTGGTATCCTGGACTCCCCTGGACCACTTCGAGGCATACATAGGATAGAACTGTCTATGTGCCGGAAGAAGGAGACAAAATTACCATCAAACATGGGGAGATTTGTCAAAAACCAGCAATATTCAATATGAACTGTATTATACTTATAATTGGTATACATTGTGACATTGCGTATACTTTATTTACATAATGTCAAAATATGATCAACATGTTTATATATATATTTTTTTTATATGTATTATGAATACACATGATACACACATCCACCTCTCATTTGTTTTCTTAGAATGAAGATACGTCTAGTTTTACCAATACTTCAGAAGGCAACTGACAGGGTCCGACCAAGGTGGACACGCTGTTGTTAAATGCCCCCGAACATCCCCTATTTAGTCAATCTGGAGGGTGAATCACCCGAATACGAATTCAAATCTGAAGTGAAGTTTCTTGAACTATATATATATATGTATTATATATACATATTACAGTATGAGAAAAAAACACAACCGTATGGGTCACAAAGGCGACCTCGATGCAAGGTTTTGCGACGTTTCATGCAGTCATGAAATACATAGATATTGATTTGGAAATCCGGTTAATACATAATGACATAATAGTAAATATAATTAAGGTTTATTATATTATTCATGTAATATCTAAATCGTGTCAATCTCTATATATATGTATATATCCGTGTGTGTGTGTTTCTTGAAAGTCGGGTGCTGATCCTACTTGGAAGTTTTGGGCAAAAGCAGCAGTGATTGAAGCATCTTTGGAAAAACATGACATAATATGATTGGAAATCCAGCGAAGGTGAAACAGCTGCGCAGCGCTGCACACGCGGCAAGTGATATATGGGCGTCTCTGACAAGGGATATATTGTACCGTCAAATGGCAATGTTTAAGAGGGAAATGAGGATATATGATGGTAAACCCAAAAAATTGGGGGTACCCAATTTTCGGACGAATCCATATGTTTAGATATGATTAGTATGTGCCCTTCCAAAACATGTCCTAAATTTTCACTGGCTCAAAGCGCTCCTTCCCAGCAATCATGGAGAAGATCTGGAAACACTTCCTGAGCATGGCAACACAGCCAGGTGGGGAGATAAGAAAAACAGTTGCAGAAAAAAAACATGTTGAAGCAGGAACTTTCCAGGAAAGCGGGTTTAAACTTACCCCAGAACACCATCTAATAACAGATTATTCTAGTTTTTGTTGATCTATTTCAAGAGGCAGAACTCCAAGGGACACCGGTTTCGCAACGATTTTCCCGAAATGCAAAACAGCAAGAAAACCAAAGCCAGAAAATGTTTTACACGCAACCGACTTTCACACTTGGGAGTATCATCCTGGAAACACAATTCCTATCTTTTTGGGTGACTATAGCCCAGTCCATCAGCATCAAATTTAGAGATCTCTGGAGGAGGTTGATGCAGTTGATACCTCGCCAATAGCGAAGATTGCGGACTTACCATGAACATCATTGAATTATAAATTCCAATTAAAGTGTCAACATAAATCAAAACATGTCAGAAAGTTCATGAGGGAAATCTATAGTATCTGATTAGTATCTAACACAAACAGTCACAAGCCTCACCAATCGCATGGCTTGGCCATGGACAAGCAAATTGAGCAAGGAAGTGAGCCAGAAAAAAAAGAATCCAACGGGCAAACGCCACAGACCCAGCAAACAGAAGAACGTGCCCAGCACGGCTCGTGGCAAACAAAGAAGTAACGAATTGAAACTTGTGCTTTTCGATGACAAACTCCACGATAGGACTGAATTGCGGAGGCATAGTTGGAATATCATCAGCAGTGTAGGGATAGTGAGTCATAGTTGCAATCGTCAAAACCTTCACCAGCGAAGTAGTCCAATTGATTCCATTGAACCTCGCAAAGGCGAAATTCGGCAAGCGAATATTGAGCAAGCTATTCATCCCATCTCTGTTGACCAACTTAGCCTGTGGACCCAGCACCCTCCATGGATGTGCGTCGAGCAAAGTTCGACACAGCCAAGAGAAAAGAACTTCCGCTTCGGTCATGGCAGCAGTGTCAATGGATGTAAAAACAATCCATTCAGTACCACTATCTATAGTTCATATATCTATCTATTCAATGTAGATATACATACATAAAATATCATGAAATCACACCACTAAAAACGTAAAAAGGATAACCATTGATCAAGTCGGGTGAAATAATCGGAGCCTCCTATTGACAAGCGCACTTGCGGGTGCAGGCGACAGGGCTTATGAATCGGCATTATAATGGTATTCTAACCTCCAGAAGGTTGGGGATAGAATATGATAGAATATCATCCCTGCAGCTCGGGGTTGTTGATGGCGATAACTCTGGGCTTCTGATGGATTCTTATGGATTCTGATGGAGTCTTATGGTTTCTTACCTCCATCAGTCGGAATAGAATCCCACCATGTTGAAATTGAAGCCACGCCGACATCGAGTGTCGCGCAGGTTTGAGGCGAGGTGAAGTTGATCACCGCGAGCTTCTTCCAGGGCCTTGGGACCAGGGAGTACATGTAGGATCATGTGGGGATATAGCCAATACAATAGGGATTCCAAGATATAAAGATAGTTAAACATGGATAATATATATATAGTTATATATATATATGTATATTAATATATATATTATCATATATATATTATTATATATATATTAGTAATGATCAGTGAACAATCAGGTACAAGTAATATAAGTATAAAGTAATATACTGAATCAACGAGGAAGACCCCGTGGCTCAAGAGATGGGGAAAGTGGCAACAACTACTTGGTGTTCCATCACCCTGTGTGTCGATAGCAAACATAGTTGCAGGTTACTTCTGCAACTTGCAACGGGAGTGAAAATCCTCGGGTTGTGCACATCCATCGTGGAAATGAGAAATCCCACATTGGCAATAGAACCACCCAACAACTGTCCAGTTTCTTCAGGGTACACAAATCCCCAAAAGATACAGAATACTAGATCACCATCAAAATGCTAGAGTAACTTGTCCAGACTTTCTTTTTGGACTCCAAAATCCACCCCAAAATGGGTTTCCCTAAAACTTGGGTACCCCAACAGATGCGCCGATTCATCATGCATTTCCCTCTTAAAATGGATTTTTGAGGCCTTTTTCCCCGTTTTCAGACTTACCAATGATGGAAATCCGGATTATTGATATCTTCACCCATGGTTTATTAATTAGAGGGTACCCTCCAAATAGTCACAATGAATGGTACATAAATGGTACCCTCCCAATTAAACAGCCGTAAACGGGGTTTATTCATCCAGGGTTGACATTATATATATATTATCTGGTTGGTGGTATACCTACCCCTCTGAAAAATATGAGTTCGTCAGTTGGGATGATTATTCCCAATATATGGAAAAATAAAAAATGTTCCAAACCACCAACCAGATAATGATAATGCTAGGCTTCAGCCAAACCCTTGAACAAGGAATACACGATGGAAAACCAATCAACCATCATTCAACCTCCCATTTATTCAGGATTGCTTCCAGCACATCATGTACAGAACGAGGTTTATGATACGGATGTATAAGGATGCCACTTCAGTAATTTAACCGTAATTAAATAACCATAATTAACTTCTAACTGGCATTACACGTATATAAACTATATTTAACTTATAATTATATAACCTACATAACAAGATGGAGTAACCCGTCATATCCAAACCTCTGATATAATGTAGCTATAGAAGCTATGGCCCATAGAAAAAGATGATGTGCCGTCTTAATGGTTTTCCATAGCAAGCTGCAAACTGTTAGTTTACTGGAGGGTATATCTCCTTAACACTTCTGTAAGCTTACCATACTTTACCGTCTTTCCATGAATTTCCCATAAATGATTCATCATGTTCCCATCTTCCAGATGGATGTGTCTGAAATTCATGTATATCTCCAACTGGCCATCGGATTTGGGGATACAACAAAATCAAACAAAGCCAAAATGCCAAACAAATTCTGAACATACTAAATGCACCCCATGAAAAGGATCAGAATATATCATAAGCCCAAATGTTACCTTTGTTGAATCCCAAGTTCTCAGCACCATTTCTTTATGGATTTTCCGAGCTCTAAACCTTCATTGTTAAGGGGATCGTCCAGGCCATGGCACAAGTGAACCAAGTCAAAGTGATAGGCTATTTCCTGGACCGCGGCGCGGCGGTCCAAGACTTTTTTTCCACAAAAGAAGTAAGGCATGAGCAAAGGGAATTTTACAGGATTTCATAGGATTTCATTGGGATTTCATAGGATTTAATGGGATTTGATGGGATTTACGTGAGATTTCATAGGATTTTATCCCGGGATGTCATGGGACCGGGATTTAATCCATCAATTTGGGTGGTTTCACGGGAAGGACTGGATGTTTTTCTATGGCTGGGTACATGGAAATTTTCCAGAAAATGTTGGGGACTTCCCCATATAAACTTCCATTTCTAGAAACTTTCCCATCAACTCCATTTGGTTTGGGGATTTTCCAGCCATGGATGACACCGGAGGGTATGGTGATCTCCATTGCATCCAGCTACTGGAACAGCCATCTTGGACAGCCGCTGCAAGACCGGGATAAACTCCTGGCTGCCCCGAGTTGCTTCGTCGAAAGTTCCGAAACAGGTCAGGGTTGTGTGAAAGAATTTTAGAAATACTACATATATCACTGAATGAAGCATATACAAAATTGTCGTAAATTAAAACATGTTCTGTCTTACCCTCCGGTAGATCAAGGAAAATATACCTTTAGTAGATCATATTCCTTGGGAAATCATGGGTTGTTTACATCTATCTTAGCTTGCTGGAGGGTAAATGAGTGGTCAACAATCATAACTGATTTTTGGAAACCCAAGTTTGCCCTGATGGGGGCACACAGATCAGTGATGGTTGTGGCAAACCTTCCATACACAGCAGGAAAACACCGCACACTAGGGGGGTTATGTGGAGAAATAAGCATATCTTGAGCCAATAGTTATCGAACATCACCCATGATATGTGTGTGCTTGGGCTTTTACATGGGCCATACTAATTAATGGGATACATGTACTGTACGGTTGATGGGTCACGGTCACGATTCCTGAAACAAGGCCATCCTAGGAGAGTTACCCAGTGAATTCCATTAATTATATCCCCAATCCCATATGTTGACTGTTCATTCCCGAATTTGGTTGCTCGTTTACACGTCATATCCGATGGGGAACCACACTCGATTTCTATATCCCGCTTGAAAAACCACCATGTTTGATCGCTAAATTTCCTATTTTTGCTGGTGTACCTACCCAGAGAGTGCTGCACGAATTCTGCTTTCCCATCCCACTCGACTCGCACCTCGTAACTCAATTTCTTCGACATCTTCAGGATCAGGGTGGTAGCCTTTTGTGCGAGAAAAACTTCCAAGAAGCATGGAACATTTAACATGCATATATGATGTCGTATATACAATGTATACATGTGTATACACAAAACATCACAAAACTATACAAAACTATACAAATGAAGACAAATGATGTGTATATAAGAACCTTTTGGTCATCAAGGGCATATGATGGAGATAGCATCAGCCACCATGCATATGGGGAGATCGCCGTCCGCATCAAGAACAAACTAAATGAAAAAATCAATACCCTGTGAATCAGGCACCCAGGCCTTAGGATGATCAATCCAGTCATGGGGAGACAGATTTGTCCCCATCACAGATGGATCGGGAAGGTCTGGAAAAGTACTGCTCCCCAAAAAAGCTTGGTGAAACCAGTGATGAAATGACTGGACGGTTATCCCCAAATCACCCAAGGCTGGCAATGAATGCCCATCAAAGTTCATTAAAGTTCCACAAATCCCAAATTAGGATAAATTAGGAACATGTTGGGAATTGTGTGTCATCCCATGTTTACGGCATTTTTGTTGGAACAGAAGGTCCCCACCCCACCCCGCCCACCCAATCATCACCGTAACATCTTCAATCTTCAACGTAACAATATTGACGTGTTACATATAACGTTAACAGGTCCCACTCCCCCACCTACCCCAATCATCACCGTAACATCTTCAACGTAACAACACATCTTCAACGCAACATCATGACCGTAACATCACCGTAACATCCTCAGAATTACCGTAGCATAACCGTAACATCATGACCGTAACATCACCGTTGACTTACTGAAGACCTGCGTTTTACTCGTACGGTTTTTGGGGCGTAGGCAAAAACTTGCGTCTGAAGATCAGGTACTAAAAAGACCAACGGTTTGCACGGTTTTACCATGGTTTACTGTCATCTCTCCCAGTTTTGTGGTTGCTGTTTGATGAGGAAAAGAAAAGAAAACATCTTCAGACACACCCATATATGGATGTTCAACCCTGGATATGAACCCCCGAATCCGCAATTTTATCATTGGAGTATCATCAATGTGAGTAATTAAAGCAATAATAAACCACCAATACTTTGAGAGTTTATACTACCACATACCACGCATTTATGGAAAATTTGGGCTTTTGGAAACCACCACATCTATGGTTTTGCTTAAAGTCAGCTAATTGGATCAAAGACACACCAACCGAAAGAGCTGCCATCGCACGTGCAGCGGGGGATGTTTACCGTAGCTCGGAGGTATTTCTGCGTTGAACGCAAGAGCCCGCTATCTTGAGCCGGAGCCATGGAATTCCAGATACGTGTGTGCATGTCTTATATGTGGGAATCTGATGGAATCTGGGTAAATTACAATGTTTCACTAACCTGAAACTTGCGGCCAGCTATGGGGATGATTCCCCGAATCCTAAATGATTCCAGGGTTCGGTCGCAGTGAGGTCCCTATAATTTGCCCAGATATAATACATACCCTGGAGTAAAAAGCTAGCAAAGATGTGGAAAATGGATCATTTATAGAGGATCACCTTTTTCAGAAATGGTGAATTCCACATCTATGTTAGTTTACAGGAGGGTAACTATATGCATGATTAAGTATAACTTAATATTCAACGATCGACCAACAAGGTTCATTGTGCCCTACCGGAAGAGGCCTCGCACAATGATGGTATGTTGGTTTAGAAAAAGGCCAACAATAGGATATAGTTGATTTATTTATACTTGGATAGGGTGACATAGACATAAACCAACTTACAGCATCTTTTCATTGCTTGGTTGGTTGACCTTCACCTCAGGAATCGAAAGCAGGTGTTTGTTCATTGTTCAGCCTGGATAATTATAAGTATACGAAACCAATTAAACATGGTCCCCTAAATGGAGGTTTAGTTCGCTGGGAACATCATCTATAAATGGTGGGATTTTCCATTGCTATGATTACTGGAGGGTGGCTGATCTAATAATTCCCGGGCTGAACCACCAGATTTATCATCCTTTTGGGGCGACTGCTGTGGATAATATTGACAGCATACAAACATGTGTAATATGTACCCATAAATCTACATATAACATCATATTACATCATTTTACATCATATTACATTGTACGACTATAGACTAGAGATATTATCCACATAGAGGTCCATATAGTTAAATCAATATAGATATGTTCTCATATAGTGTTGACTCATAAACATATTGACACATTGATATCCATGTATATCCATGTATATCCCAAAGTACAATAATACCCTCAAGTGATTTTGGGCCCAACAACAGCGAAGAAACATCCGGAGTCCTTTGGCCATGGCCGGGTAGCTGTTACCCATGGAGGGAGTACTTTGGAAATCTTTGGCGATTTCTTTTCATTGGGTTCTGGGCTACAGCCTTTAGGGCCTATAGCCTTAAACCTTCTCAGGAAGTTTTCTATGAGCATATACTTTAAAGCTACGACATGCCAAAAAACATGCTAGAACCATGTTCATGGGAAACCTTCTCGTTGGATCATAAACCAGATTTTGATATACACATATTCGATCCATTTCTGCTTGTGTCCCCATGCTGGCCGATGAAACGGTTGAGTCAACCACCCTGTGCCAATCGGTTTCCAATATCATACGGTCGGAGCCGTATGTCCATTATATTGGTCTTTCTCCTTCACTATGATGGTTGATCAATCATGATTAAACAATATGTTATATATATATGTATATAGTAGCTGGCTATATCTGGCTGAATTACAATAAGTCACCAAGCCGGAAAAACAACGTGATTTTGGGAGTACTCCTACTTAAACTCACCATCAAGATGTTGGCAGGTCGTCGTGTCACTGGCACCTGGAGAGAAGATGAGCACCATGGCGCCAGGCTATTTCGCTGAACCATCCAAGTGAACAGCAATATGGCCATGGTACAGTTGTGGCATTGGGAAACCCCCACCAATCGCTTGTGTATTTTTCTGTGCATCTCCTAGGTTTCAGCTACGCGGGGCAACGAACTGTCGAAGGACCTGAGAATCGCTAAACACAACCAATGTTCAGAATCTAGACAAGCATATTGCTGCTACCTTACTATGTGTATATGGTTGTATGTATCATATGTAAATAAACATATATATATAGATAATCATATATATATATGTATATGTATATAAGTAAATATATATGATTATATATATATACAATTATATATATATATATTTATATATATATATGTGTATAATTATATATAATATTATATATAATGTTATATATAATATTAAATATTATGTATATACTGTATATATATAAATATTTATGTAAGTAAAGTCATTCTCATTGTTGTTATGTTGTTGTTTCTTGGTGGTTCACCCCGGATGGTAAGTAACTTATAACCCCACTTCTTCGAACATTAAGTAGGGTCAGTCACTGTTAGTTTGTTAGTCCAGTTGTAAGCAGGGTGAACTAACCTACTTATGAGTCTTGAGGTGAACCACAAAGTATTGTTTATTGATGCTTATTGTTATTATCCTTAATTATATGGCGGTTTCTTGAAATGGGGGTACCCAATTCATCATCCAAGTCATTGGACCATTGAAATGTCTTGAAATGGATTTTTCAATCCGTGGTTTTGGGGATCCCCCATTTTACGAACCCCCCATCTTGTAGGAACCACTCCTTGTCGGTCAAGTGGTCACGCTGTAGCCGGAAGCTCAAGGCGTGGACTTCATCGGTCACAGGGGGGGAATCAGGCAGTCTGGGCAAAGTACAAGTCATTTTACCCTAAGTAAAGTACTATAAGTTTCCCAAACTGCTTCAATAAACCTAGCAACCTAGCCTTAAACAAGTGGGCAAAACCCAGAGCGCAAAAGCTCTGTTTTACTCCTGAGCCACAACTCAAGGCGCCTGCGGACAGCGCATCTGTCTCATGGATTCTATGTAACTTTCTCAGCCTCCCAAAATTTTGTGAGTGTTGAGTCATTTTGACTGACACTCATGGTTGGCTGATGCACATCTACTGCATATTCTGAAGACATCGCAGCTGGGCCATGAACTTTCTGACGTCGGTCACCTTGTCGTCCGGTCGCCAGCTCGATCTCTTCCTGCTGAATCACCATGCCCTTCTTCTGCAACAAGGTGTAGAGTGGGGCCATGTGAGCAGCACTGGGCAGTTTCGTCAGGCTGTCTGCAGGGTTTAGGTTATGTGGTAGCCACCGAAGTCGAGCACGAAGTTTGGCCAATGATTCTTGAATCATCGCTGCTTCCAATGCCGCTCGAACATCATCTCCTTGAAACTGTCGTTCCGATGAAGCTGTGGAGTCGTAGACGCTCTTTGCATCAATGATGGCCACTGCTTCAGGATCTTGATGTCGAGGATCTTTGGTTGAAATCACCACGGGAGGTCCACGAAGACCCATCAGTACGTCCATGTCCTCAAACACCTGGCTTGGGTCGTAGCGAGAAAACCTGAAACTCTTCATAGTTGCAGCTTGCTTTTCCAGGCTCGCCAAGGCAGTGGATAGGGAGATGGATTCACAAAGTGTAGTGCTGGCTGCTTTTCTCCTCAGTTTCTTACTCCTCCAAGAAATCAGACTCACAGGGGCAAACTGGCCGCGGTTCAAAGCCGGCGTAGTCACTCCCTGCAGCCATCCATGTTGAGGTTTGGATTTTCCCGTTGGATCGAATGAGGAATCCGCCACTAACACGTGTCGAAGTTCAGCTTCAGGAATTGCATGGATCTTGATCGTAATGCTTCTTTCCTTCAGCATCTCCACGGTGGCGTTGCAGTCCAGCACGTTCTGAAGCGTCGGATTTGGAAAGCATCCCGACAGAATAGATGCTGATGCCGAGCCGTCAGGTCTGCCTTCTCTGGCAGCCCAATTGATGGCTGCTATGGTGCCACGCAGCTGCGATTCTTCTTCTTCATTCAGCTGAATTTTGGCAGCATCTTTCTTCAGAAACTTTCTAGTGATGTTGACCTTCTGAAGTCTGTTGGCGACGTAGTCATCCATGCTGTACTCGAAGCTGAAGTCTTTGAGCTGTCGAAGTCTGCGACCTGCATACCCACTTCCACCTTCGGTGTTCTGCAAGTCGACGACCTTTCCGAAGCGAAGACGCTTCTCAAGCAGCTCCATCTTCTGTCGATGTACCGAATCTCCTGCTTCGAGCATGTCATCCACTTCAAGAACTAGTATGCCCCTTGTCGGGGTGTTTGGATCTTTGAAGTCCTTGTTCTCCTCCTGGTCCAGGGTGAGCACGCATCGGTCATAGACGTTGACCCTGTAGCCAAGCTCTTTGACGAGGATCTCAAGGAGTGATCTTCTCCACCAAGATGGTCCCGATACGAGTCCATAGACCTCCGTGAGGAGAAGGATGAGCTGCTCCACATCGTACCCTTCAAAAGCTTCGTCAGCTGGCATTCTGCAAGCCAACTTCTGCGACCTGGTTGTCGGTCGGCTCTGCAAGAAAGCTGTCTTCGCATCTTTGGACTTTGCTTTCCACTTTCTCGATGCGGCCAACTGAAGTGCTAGATAGATGGATGATGTCAAAGGTGTAGGAGCAGTCCTCTCGATCTGATGGATATGAGGGTCTCGCCAACCAACAACGCACCATCTGGATTTGGGTGCAAGACCAGGATGTTGTTCTGGTAGGAAACCTGATTCCCCATATTCTTCAGGAAGCACACCAAAGGCGTCCGTCGGTTTCCATCGGTCGACGTCCCGACTCGTCAAGACATGTTGAGGATGCTCTCGAAGAAACCGCTTGGACTCCTCCTTGGACAAGATCTTGATGGCTCCGGAATCCAAAAGAGATTGAACTTCTTTGGCCCGGGAAGCTCGAAAAATCTTCTTGTACTTCTCTTCCAGCTTTCGGAATTCAACTTGTCCAGGTGAGGTCTTAGCTTTGGTCAGGTAGATGCACTTGTCATTGTAGTTGAACACGCCTGTAGATTGTGAGATGTTGAACTTCTCCGTGCTGGCGTTGTTCATGGTGTAGTGACCAGTGCACCGGTCTCGAATCCAGTGTGGTGACTCCTCACTGGGCTCCTTGGAAACTTCAAAGTATAGAGATCTGGTGTTTCGAGGTAGGGCTGGAACTCCTTGTGGCGGACAGGGATAAGGCATCACCGGTCGTTGTTGATCTCGTCGAACTGGACCAAAACCCAGAACTCCGTCTCGTGCTTCATCGACTCGGATGTTCATGCTTTCCCGTCTACTCTGTGGTTGTGATGTAGTCAATGAAGGCGGTACTGAAGGTGCAACCTCGGCTGTTGAAGGTTCTGCAGTGCTCGCTTCCGATGGTGCACGACGAGGTGGATCTTCCAACATAGGTTGAACTCCTTGATCAGGTTGAACTTGAGCTTGATCACGTAGTGGATGTTGATCTCCCAGGTCCATCTCGAAGTCCTCGTCACCCTCGTCGATGCGGTCCAAGGTGTTGAGTGGAGTGGTTGGTGAGTATGCCTCTGCGGGCTCTACCACTTCGGGTGAGTCTCCCTCGGCCTCTGCCAACCGCCCAATCACTTCCCCAGACATTGCATCGTCATCTGGTAGACCTTCTGCCGCAACGTCTCTGAAGAACTTCACGCGGTTGTTCTCGATGTCCTCCAAGAGCGTAGTTGAAAGGTGCTTCACCAACTCAGCACCCAAGCTTTCCTCGGAGGTTGCTTTTCGAACTTGTCCTTTGTTCGCCTTCATCAAGTATCCTCTCATGGATATCCAACAAGCATCTCCCTTCTGAGCTATGATGGTGCCAGGTCCGGTCCATCCTTTGTGGCCGGGTATGTCGCGCCACACATAGACCAGCTCCCCGTCCTCGAAGGCTTTCATGTCCACGATTCGAGTGCGGGTTGACACAGCTCGTCTCACTGCAGTATCATCCTGCCACTTCAACCATGCTTTCCCAGCTTCTTCTCGGATACGCCAAGCTCTCTTCATAGCATCTTCTCCACTTTCGAGGATAAGCTGCTTGTCTATCTTGTCGTCCGACAGCAAAGAAGCTGGTAGTCTTGGAAGTGTGCCAAATGCCCGTTGATATGGCGTGTACCCTGATCGGTTGTAGTATCGATTGTGCATCATGGAAGTCTCGCTGATGGCTGTCTTGAACTCCTCCTCGCTGGTCACGCCCCCAACCTCATGGATCGCGGTCTCCAAGCGGGACTTGTAGATGCCATCAGCACGCTCTGTGCGCCCATTCTCCCATGGCGCTCTTGCTGATATGTAGTGTACCGGCACTCCCAGATGTCCCAGCCGGTCTGCAAACTCTCGACCCACAAACTCACGGCCTTGGTCTGCAATCACAAGACCAGGGGGACCATAATGAGCCAGCCAGGCCCTTGCAAACGCCGCATACACAGTGGATGCTTGTTTGTCTTCCACTGGTTCTACAATCTGCATGTCAGTGCCCCAACATAGGCAGTTCAGCAAAAGGTACTCGCCCAAGTTCGGCACGTTGACTTGGATCAGGTCGACTCCAACCACCTCATTGAACTCCATGGCCTTCTGCAACTTGCCAGGGCGATGTGCAGAGGGCTGTTGCTTTCGCTCGCACAGGTCACACCGAAAATGGTGCTTCACCCATTCCACGGCCTCCTTCTTTACTCCAGCATGTCGAAGTGCACGAACAAAGACTTGAAGCGAAGGATGCCCAAGGTTGCGGTGAACTCGAAACAGTTCTCTCCTCAACTCCCGGTGTAGGATGTTGTCAGTCGGTGGTTGTGGAAGATGAAGTTCTCGTAGAGCTTGTTGAACTCGGTCTTCAGAAGTTTCCTCCTCATCCATGTCGTCTTGAAGGTCTCGAGGTTGATCTGCTTGAAGGGCTCGAGGTCGAGATCGATCAGCTTGAAGAGCTCGTTCACCACGCGCCGCCGCTGAAGACGAAGACGAGGTTGTAGAAGCCAAATCGCCGCCTCCCAAAATTTTGTGGGTTGGAAACAATGCTTTCCAATCCACCTGCAAGGCGGTCTCGTCCGTCAAGTAGGCATGGATAGGATGTGCAGCAGCCTGTGTGATGTAGGTAGCCACTGCTTTCCAATCAGGAGGTAGTACGATAGGATCATGAAGTTGAAATGTGGTAGTTCCAGTCCAAAGCTGACTGAAGGCAAAGCGTGGAGCTTCAGCACTCCTCCAATCATCCTCCAAAGTCTGGTGTTTCCCATTGATGAAGTTGATGTTGGAGACTCGCTTTGAAGACAATCTTTTGCTTGGGGAAGGGCATCCAGCAACACCTGATGGTGAGAAGAGAGCGCGACGGGGAACTCGATGATGTCGCACCAGCTGCCCGTCGTCCTGCTCCCAGTAGTCTTCTGTCTGCTGGTTGCTCTTCACCCAAGTTTGTACATGTCGACGAAGACCTCTGAGAATCGCCTCCACGAACGCAGGAGTATATTTGGCAGCAAGGCCTGCTTCGCCGGCAAGAAGTGGCTGATGCTTGGCATGTGAGCCTTCACATCGGCGATTCAGCACTGTTGCCAATGATTCCACGTTCGTGAGAAGAAGAGTAGGCTTCAAGGCTGGCATTCCTTTGGAAGTCTTGAGTCCAAAGCGGCACAGGTCCACCGGCACTGAGAAAACTCCAGGTTCGTTTCGAAGTTGGTCCAGCTCCTCATGTGCCCATGATGTGGCGCTTCTCGGATGTTCAAATAGAAAGCCTCGGCCAGCTCGAAGTTGTATTCGCGCTATGGCGACTGCAAACTTCAAGTGCTGCACTGCTTCCTCTTCTTCGGCTCGAACTTGATGTTGGTCTCGTTTGAAGTTGGATAAGAACCTCAATGTTGAGAAGACAGTATACAGGGCGGGCTGAGGACAACAAGAACTGGTTGTAGTTCCCGTATCATCCGTAGAGCTGACTGACGATGGGTCTCCTTGGTAAAGTCCCAGCCAGTAGTCAGGTCCAAAGCTCCTCCAGCCCGAAAGCCGTACTTCTCTGCCTTTCCAGTGACTCTTTCTGGTGAGTACACCTCGACAATGGTTTTGTTGAGCTTCTTGAGGTTCTCCTTGACGAACTTCTTGTCCTCCTTCGTCAGCTTGGCGTCATCACCATAGATATCCGATGTAGCGTAAGCAAAATGCTTAGCCAATGCCTGCCCATACACATAGCAGGTCATGTTGTCCGCAGTGGATAGTGAAACTGGCTCAGTTTTGAATTCATCAGTACATTCATTGTGCCATGCAACAAGGTCTGGCGTGCCAAAAGCAGCAATTGTGGCCGTCGACAGGCAGCAGTTCATGCAAAGGAAGACCATGAACTTGGAGAAACGGGAACTCAGGAACTTTCCCAAAGATCTGCCATGTCGACCACCAAGCTGCGACTTGCCAACTAGGCGGCTGGATGGGTTGCATCTGGTGCCACCATCTCCACCTGCTCCCAAGGCTTCTCCTCGTCGCTGATGACCAACTCCTGGGGTCCATCGTCCTCCACATTGAAGGTCGGCATTGGTCCTGCCGTCTTCTTGGGTGGTTGGATTGGTCGAAGTCCCGTTGGCACTCTTTCTTTTGACACTGAGCGTTCTCTCTGTGTCGTTGTCTTTGAAGCCCGTTTGGGCATAGCATGGCTTGATCCACTGCTCCCAGAAGCCGGCTCGATCCGGCCCATCACGTCCACCTTCAGCTTGATGTCGCCCTGCTCCGGCTTGGATCGTGGTGCAGGGAGAAACTCCGGGTAGGTCCCCACGACTGTCTGCAAGCTTTTGGCTTCCGGCATCTGGGGAACTTCCGTTGCCGATGAGGACAGAGACGGATCGGCTTCCAGCCTTTCCCAACGTGCCCCGCATTGGATGCATGTCCACCACCTCTGTCGTGGATTTGCTCGGCACCGCATGTACTCTCCGGGGTGAGTGCAAGTTCTTGGGCTCTCGTTCCAATGCTTTTGGGCTGTGGATCTTGACAGTGGTGCTCCAATTCCCTGAGGAATCCATTGGGTCTTGGTGACCTTGCTCTTGCCCTTCGGCTTCGCCTTGGCTTTGAAGTCCGTCTCCTCGTCGACGTCCAGAACATTGCCCTTCTGCTGGAGATAGTCCAGAACCATCTGCTGCCGAGTTGTCTGCACAAGCATGAACAGGGCGGTCATCACCCGCATCCACGCTGCCAGACACTTGGCCGTTCCCATCTTCTTCGGAGGTGTTGGTTCTTCTTCTCCCTGATACATCTTGTAGATGGAGGACTGAAGCGATCCCGCTGCCAACATCTGGTTCTTCTTGGGCGCCATGGCGTCGACTGAGACGATTGGCGAAGGCTTGGGCTGCTTTGGAAAGCGTCCAACTCATCAGAGAGCTGAATGGGCTTCGAAGAGCACGGTCTGATTTTCTCTTCAAACACATTCTCAAAGACCCGAGGGTGACTGTTTGCGCACCCTTTGACAACTCTGGGCTCAAGCACCAATTTCCATCATGATCAGTTTCATCCAAACTAAACTCCATCGGTCGATTGACCGTTTCCACCACGTTGAAAACCCTCACACTCCCCTTTTTTCTGACACTCGGACGAGGCTGCATGTCCCGTCCTGTTGACGGCTGTGTGAAGCTCTGCCTGCTCGATGTCGGAGGTCTGCTTGAAGACGAAGGTCTGGATGAAGACAAAGGTCGCGTCGTAGTTGACGGTCTGGATGTAGGTGAAGGGCCCCTTCCTGTCGATTCCGACCTCGGGGATGATTGGCGATCTTGATCTTCTTGATCATCATCATCGTCTGAAGGTTCTTGACCGCCACGTCGTCCCTCAAAGAAGACCACGGTGCCAAACCAAGGTTGATTTAGGCAACGATGTGGTCGCTCCACCCAGTCGTCATTGATCACCTCCATGTGATTGTCGACCATTGTGGCATACACCCACTTTCTTTTGGTCAAGAGGACTCGAGGTATTGTTCGAAGGTGGTTGGGTGTTGGAAGTCGTTCTCTCCAACCATCTTGCCGTTCCAGGAAGGTTCGTTGCCCCTGCTGGTTCTCCAAGTAGAACAGCACACCTTGCGTCGGGTCCAAGGGAATGTGTACTCCCTCTTCATTGGTGAACATCACCACTGGTGGATCTTCTTCCTGTTGGTCAAAGTGCAAGACCCGTTGAACCACTGCATAGTCTGTGCTTTCCGACACATTGTCCGAGGAGTATGAACTCGAAGAACGTAGAGGTAGTGCTGGTGGTACTCCTTGTGCTCGTTGATCTCGAAGACGTTGAAGAGCTTGAAGACGACGATCTCCACCAGATTGTTGTGCTTGTCCAGGTCGTTGAACTTGTCCCGAACTGTGTGCTCGTTCTGGTTGTTGAGACTGTTGTTGCAACGCTGGTCTCTCTTCAGGTAGCTCTTGCAACACCTCCACTTCTGTGGATTCTCCATCGGGAGCAGTGCTCGTACCATCTGTGTATGGCACTGTTGGTGCCATTGAATCTGCACGTTCTGAAGCAGGTGCGGCTCTTGACCTTGATCTAGATCTTCTCCTCGTTTCGTTTTCCACCGGAACTTCTCCAGGCAAGACATGGGCTTCCACATAGGTCTCGAAAAAGACGTCGTCCATTGGTCGGCCTGAAGTCTCGTCCACACAGATTGTGGGTGGAAAACTCGATGTCAAAGTCCCGGATGAAGTCGAAGAAGTCAAAATAGCCAAAGCCTCACTTCGTTGATCACGCGCAGCATCACCACCTCCCAAAATTGAGTGCGAAGAACGTGGATGTAAAAGAAAAGGGTCATGGCCATTTTGTTGAAGGTTCTGAGGCAACTTCCATGGCGTGGTCTCGAAGTCGAACATGTGAATTGCTCGATGGCCAGATGGAAGTCTTCTCATCTGCGTTGTGTGGCCATCGGCAGTCACGTAAGTGTCATATTGAAGGTCAAGGCTGGCACCCACCGTCTCCAAATAGGAAATGGGAATCAAAGGTGGTGTGACAAAACCAGTGGGACCCTCTCCATCTTCGATCACTGTGAACCTCAAAATGCCGAGAACTCCAGCTATTGAGGTGGGCACATCAAAAGCTCCACAAAGTCGAGCAGCGCCACCAATTCCCGCACATTGTGAGGAGGGGCGGCGAATTGGAACAGGTCGCAATCCAGCTGCTCGCAACTCTTCTCGCATGCCATTGAAGCTTTGGCTTCCCACCACGGCTTCTTCAGCAGCCGTGTCGACAACACCTTCAAAGGCTCGTACTCGAACTCCGGCATAGACCGCACGCATCAGTGTGGTATGTGGTGGTGGAAATGGCATCGGTTGCAACTGCTGGAACATGTAGGTACTGGTAGAAGAACCTGTTCCTCCAACAGTTACAAACTGCTTCTTTTGGGTACCTTTGGAACTGCCTCTATGCGGGCAATTCCGACTGATGTGCCCTAGCTCTTGGCAAGAAAAGCATCTGGTCCTCGCCATCAGTTCTGCCTCAGTGCCTTTTATGGTCGAATCATCTTTCCGGCCATGTCCATCTTTCTTTCTACCTTTCCCTCTGCCTTTGGGCTTCTTGTTGATATGGCTTCTACGTCCGCCACCATTGCCACGGTGTCGGACAAAGCCCCTTTCTCGCTTTCTGGTCCTCAGATCCTTTCTCACATCATTGTAAGCCTGGACATAGATCGCCTCGGCTTCGTCAAACTCTCTATCTTCAAACCGAAGCATGTCGTCGGCCAGCTCGGAGTCTGAGTACTCCTCTTCTTCCATCTGGTTCTTCTTCATCTTCAGTCCCATCAGCATCTTCACCAGCTTGTAGAAAAGTACGCTGTACTGGAACTGCACCAGGAAGAGCAGCTGCCTTCGAAAGAGTTTCCAGGCGATCCAAAGGTCGCAGTGCGTTGACCACCTCCTCATACGACAAGAGCACATGCGTCTTCAACGCTATCATCTGCTGTTGTTGTTCTGAAAGTCCAGCTTGACGTAGTAGAATTCGTCCTGCTACCAAAGGATTGAGGACTTCACCTCCAAGTTGACTTTCAAGCTCCTGCTTTTGAACCTCCTTTCTGGACAAGAAAGCTGCAAAAGTTTCACCACGTGCTCGATCACCACTGTAGACAAAGTTGTCCACCGACTGAGGCCCAATTGCCTCCAGGTATGGTTTGTAGCGAGCCATGAGGGTGGTGAGTATGGCAGCATATCCAGCTTCCGTAGTCAAAGTTTCTGGGGGCACCACATCTGCTATGCGTCTTGCCTCTTCTCCCAAAGCTGAATACAGCTTTATGCCCCAACGAGATTTCGGAGTGGTTGTCTCCTGCTCCCACATTCCAAGCTGCTTCGACCAACTCCTCAAGCCAGAAGGTGCTCCTGACCAAGGTGGTACTGAAGCACGCTTGTCCCCACTTAAGGCCTCCACCAACTTCTTGAACCAGTCTTCCGTAGAACTTGATTGATTCGGACTTGAATCCGGAGTTGGTGATGTAGGCACCGTTTTCCCAAGCGCTTCAAACGCTGATGCCACTGGTCTGGCTCGAGCATCTTGAACACCAGTTCTCAGGCCGTTCACAAAGTCCTGGGCGGTCTGAACTGGCATCGCATTGGTCGAAGTCGAGGGTTGATATCCTCTCCATGGGTCAGCAGCTTGAAGAGGGTCAGGAGGAATGCCACCAGGCTGTCTACTCGAAGCGTCCTGATGTCCTTGTCCCGGAAGAACTCGTTGAGGTTGACCAGAAGGAACTTGATGAGGTAGTCCAGAAGGTACTTGTTGAGGTAGTCCAGAAGGAACTTGTTGACGTAGACCAGAAGGAACTTGTTGAGGTAGTTCCTGCCGAGAAAGACCACCACATACTCCTGGTGATAGAGGAATTTGTTGATGTGGTATCGTCCAAGGGCTCTGATAGACCGCACTTGCGCATCCATTGGCTTGGCTTCCAAGTTGTTGGAAAGGTCCAAGAGGACTTGCAGCATAGCCATAGGCTTGCGGTCCATAGCCCATCGGGTTGTAGGACAGTCCACCCAACCCATAGTTCATTCCATCACCAGAGGCTCCATACGTCGTCCTTGTGGTGGGTATCGAAAAGCCCGCAGGGGTGTTGGTCATTGGGCTCATGTTGTTCACCATGGAGCTTGGCATCGATGTAGACGACATAGAAGGATCGAACGACCCGGCTCCAGCAGCACTGGCGCGATCACCTTGGGTGTTTCCAGTTGTCGCTGCATAGATCCCAGGTTGGTGGCCGAATTCTGCGTCTCCCACCTGAGGTCGTTCTTCACCTCCCACCTGAAGTCGATCTGCATCTCCCACACCAGCTGCAGCGCCACCACGACGCCGCCGATGTCTTCGTCCTGTAGCTCCATAGTCCTGCGAAGCTCCCGCCATGACAGCGGGTCAGGCTGCCCGGCCGTGCCGGGCTCCGCTACCACTAAACAAGTGGGCAAAACCCAGAGCGCAAAAGCTCTGTTTTACTCCTGAGCCACAACTCAAGGCGCCTGCGGACAGCGCATCTGTCTCATGGATTCTATGTAACTTTCTCAGCCTGATTTGGGATGATGAAAAAGGCATTTTGGGATGATTCGATGATTCCGACTGCCGTCGGGACCGGTGACCTTTAAGTTCAGCAAGGCTTTCTCAACCACCAATAGCCACTAATGAGGGTTTATTTAGCTTTATTTAGAATCTATTATCGTAATGAAGTGTCAATCTGATTTCACCCGTTAATGGACCTTTGGTGATTCTGATAATGATACAGCATTCATTTCCGACAAATGCAACCGGGATCGGGGCCAATGTCTGCACCAAAGACTTGTTCACCTTGGATAGATTACTTAAAAAAACGAAAATGAATTGAAATCTTCACATAAGTTGCATCAAACCATTCCGTGAAAGGCTCAACAACCACAAAAATTGAAAAACATGCAGAATGAATAACGGTTCGGCAGGCTGTGTAGTTCCGCTGCTACCACGCAAGGACTGCAGCAGACTTTCACTTGGGTTTTTGGCAACCCAGATGATTCCAGGCCCAACGGGGCACGACCTTCACCATACCACAATAGAAGGGAGGGGTGAACCCCACTTTTGTCAGCATTTTTAGGGCTAAATACGAAGATAAACACAAGGTTTCAAACTACAAAAATCACTTAATTGTACATGGTATAACATGATATAACTAATCATAAGTAGTCAATACCATCTGACTCACCGTTTCGACAACCTCTAGAACGATACATCTTTTGGGACTTTGGTGTCATCTTTCCCATGAAAGCTGCCATACTTTGGTCATTGCAGTGGTTTAAGGGAAAAAAATTGCAGGCAACCGTTCTTGCATTGAAAAACAAACATGGTTTCCGGCTTTCCGGCGTTAACATTTCCATTCAACCAATTGATTGGGGGTTTCTGGGCAAATTTGAAATAGTCTTGCTCTCTTTAGAATAAACTAACATAGATGTGGAAATCCCATGAAATCCCATGGTTTCCCGAAGAAGATGAGCTGCATTTCTGGTGGGTTTTCCGGATCTTTTTTGTATGTTCACAGGAGGATACAGTTGAGATTCCATGTGATCCACGTGATGCACATGTTGAATGAGCGCCCGTGGGGCCGGTGAAACCACTAGATCCGTGAGACACGCCGTGATTTTGGGCGAGAAACTTGGGCATGTCTGTGGTAAGGCCTCCCATAGGCATTAGGGCCCTACATGTGTATAGCACACCCATAAAAGGATCATTAGAAGAGTCATGAAAATCCAGATTCTTATACAGAAACATGTGCATTGCCCGCACGAGGCAGGTGCCGGAAATTTCCAGCAGCCAGGAATGTGACAAGTTTTGCCTATACGCGTGCGAGTGAAGCCTCACATTTTCTCAACTCTGTTCTGTGAATTCGTCATCATCTTGCTTCAGTCCTTTTCAACTGTGGCCACCACTTCTCAGCTCCTCGCAGCTCCTCTCAGGTCTCAGCTCTTTTCAATTCTTCTCACAACTCGTCTCAGCTGTTCTCAACGATTCTCACCTTTGCATACCTTTGCGCACATCTTCTCAACCCGTTTCAACTGCTCTCAACCTTTCTCAGCTGAACTCTTTTGACCTCTTCCCACCTCTTCTCAACTCTTCTCGCCACTTCTCACCTCTTCTCAACTCTTGTCGATAATGTTCACCTCTGCCCACCTCATATCAACTCTTGTCAACTGGCTGAACTCTTCTCACCTCTACTAAACTCTTGTGAGAATCGTCACCTCTGCTGAACTCATTTCAACTGCCAACTGTTTCAACTCTAATTATTATCCTTCTTTATCAACCCATGTGACTTGTTCAACTTGCGTCTTCTTTATTTCCTGGCAACTCAAGTCAACCAATTTCGACTTTTCTCAGCTCTTTTTACATCGTTTTCAACTATGCGCAACTCTCCTGTCTTCTTCTCCAAAAGAAATTTAGTTGCAAACCGCAATAAAACCACACGCAGCGGATCGCAGCGGCAGCAAAAACTGCAGCTCCAAAACCGGATTTTGGCGCCAAAGCGAAAGAAACCGATGCTGAGGCGCTGTTTAAAAGGCATTTTAAACGGAAAATCATCAGCGCCAAAGTAGAAAAAACTGCTGCAGAATCACCATCGCAACCTTGATGCAGCCACTCTAATACGATTTTTACGACTCTCAGCTGCACTAATAAAGTTTACGGACTCAGCCGCAGCAGCGAGGAACCTTGACGCAGCCATTCCACTTCGATCTGCAGAAACTTAGTTGCAAAACACAATAGAACTCTACTCTACTCTACTCCACTCTCCCCTGCTTTCAGGAACATGCCAGCTGGACTTAAATGATCTTTTGAGCTACTTCTCTACTTCAGGAACATGCCAACTGGACACACTGATCTTTGGGCTCATGAGAATATGAAAGTCCGTAGCTCGGAGCGTCTCTGCGAAACTTCCTTTGATAATACATAATAATATATTACACAGTATTTCTACTCAATATTAATATTCATCAATGTCTTTTACATCATGAGCCGCTCGAAGTGTTTTACATCACCAAGGAACCTACGCCCTGGTAGCCATGGATGGCCATCATGGAATGGGACACACCCACTTCACAGATCTCTGAAGACGACGACAGCTTGACCTATGATCAATGAAACCGGAATCATAAAACCAATGATCAATACAGGTAGTCATGGTATAATAGATACATCATCAATGGCCACCAATAATATCAATAATTCATAAACCATAGATCAATTTAAAAATAAAAGAAAACAATAATAATAAATCACTATTGCCTGGTTTTGAGCCTCCCTGAATGTCCCTGATTTGAAGTTTCCCTATGGATCCAAGTTCCAAGTTTCAATAAACTGAGGGAGTATGTGGGGTCTCAGCAAGGAGAGTTAGCCTTAAACTTCTAAGTATTTGCATCCATATGGCTACTTTAAGGGAAACATCATGATAAATCACGGGACTTGATTGTGTGTGTTTTCCCTTCAAAATCATGGTATGTTAAAATTTTGTCTGTTTCCCCTTCAGCTTTTCATCCAACCCCACCCGGTGCAAGTCGTCCTTCGCACTTCAGAGCGAAAAGAGCTACGCAGCACGCAGCTCAGACCAAGTCGGCCTGGGCGCAGTGGATGTAATATAATGTAATATACATGTTTATGGATACAAGTTAGCTGCACCATGGTTATATCATGTGTATATAGATATATATACACAGCTACTATCATTATATCGTCTTGTTGGTGGTTTCAACCCCTCTGAAAAATATTAGTCAGTTGGGGTGATTATTCCCAAAATATGGAAAACGTGTTCCAAACCACCAACCAGTCATGTATATATATATATATATACATACATACATACATACATACACGGATACTATCATTATAATGGTTGCTATCGTCACCATGGTGAATATGGTCAATATATACATATATATACATATATATGTAT